GCAGCACAGCTACTAAGGTGCTCAGCTAGAGCAGGGCTCCACCTGGGGGTAAGGCTGCTCAGCCTGGCTGCCTGGTGACCTGAGGGATCCCTCTGCCCCAGTCTCTGCTATCCCATGAAGTGGTGGGCTGTGTTCCCAGATTCCACAGACTCCAGGAGACTGATCCCAGAGCATATCTGGGGCCCTTCTGAGGGCTCTGGCCCTGAACTGAGAGGAGCTGGGTCTCTTGGAGTTCAGGCTGTGTCTGCAAACCTGGTCTGCAGAGCTGCGAGGCTCCCCTGGACTTCAGTAGAGTGACTGTGCAGGGTGGGAGAAGGGGCTACAGGCAGATGAGCCTTACTCTGCCTAGCCCTGGGCTCACTGGGTACAGGCACTGGAGACTTGGAGTTGGGGCTGAGGGTTGGAAATAAAAGATGAGACCAAACGAGGCTGGGTGCTGGAAGGCGGAGTCTGTTCTGTCCTCTTGTCTGTTCCCAGGGCACCTGTGGAGCTGCAGAACCTGGCATCTGGTTTCTGGAATTTAGCCATGCCCTTGGTTTCCTGCCTCCATGTCAGCCCTCCAGTGCCACAAAGACCGTCTCACTTTTGAGCTTCCACAGACTTCCTTCTTTCCATCCATCCACCCATTCATGTGTCTTGTGAGCACTCCTTTTATGCCAGGGGTGGTTCTGGCACTAGGGTTACAGTAGTGAATAGACACAGAAAGACGGAGATGCCCTTTGTGGAGGTAGGCAGGCTGCAGGAAGAGCTCTGTCTAGCAAGTTAAATTTGAGATGCTGATTTGATATCCAGTAAAGACGTCAAGTAGGCAGGTTTGAGCTAGAGACATATGGTGGGAGTTGTTGGCATTTAGAGGGTCTTAGAAGCCACAAGACTGGCTGAAATCATCTAGAGAATGAATGGAAAAGAGGCCGAAGGACTGGGTCCTGACATCTGGGGAACAGTCACAGAGCAGTGGGTAGTCCAGGAGAGCAAGAGGCCCTGATGGCCAAAAGAAGGAAGTGGGTACAGAGAGGAGAGTGCTTCCTGGTAATGGAGAACCCAGGTGGCCACGCCCACTATGGCCATGGGACAAAGTCCAGGCTGCTCACAGCTTCCAGACAGCTTCAGGGCATGGAAGGGCCCTGCACAATCCTGATTTTCCTTGCCCCTCAGCACTTCACCTCCAACTCTGTAGGACTCTGTGGATGTCTGCACAGCCAGGGCCTTTGTTCCTGCTGGCCCCGCCTCCTTCCCACTTGCCCTTTGGAACCTAGCTTAGATGGCCTCTCCTCCTGAAAGCCTTCCTGGCTAGAGTAGCTCTCTCGCTGGGTCCCCACAACCTGGTTGAGTGTATGCCTCCCCCATCAGGCTGGGAGCTCCTCTAAGCCAGGGACCATGTAAGAGCCTTCTTTGTCCCCAGAATCACCAGCACAGGTCCTGGTGCACAGTAGGTACACAATGAGTGCTCTTGGAATAACAATGATGTTGAGTCGTCACCCCGGAACGTGCTCAGTGGCACCCCTCCCTACAGTATGCTGTCACCTGTGGGTGGGTAGGTGCCCAAATATGGGGAAGGAAGTGGCCTTTGTGGGTGTCTCCTACTGCCAAGCCAAAGGAGACTACTCTGGCTGTGTCCACCCAGTACCCTGGGAGCTCCTGAAGGGCGGGGACCACATCTCCTTCATTCTGTAACTTACGCTTCCAGCACAACACCTGGCACACAGTAGGTGCTTATTAAATGGGCTGCCTCTAGAGGAGGTCGGGCTCAGTCTCCAGTCCTGACCTATTCTTGAGTTCCATCATTGGCCCAGCTGGGGAGGAGACCCATGGGTCTCACGTGCACACATCTGTGTGTGCACAAGTCTGAGTGTGTGGTATGCATGTGTGCACACGTGTGTGTGTGTGAAAGCTGGCAGGGGCCATGTTGCTCTGACAGGCTGGCCTCTAAGGGATGGAGGTCCTGCCCTGGGCAGCAAGCCCACGCCTCATATCCAAAGACTCCACTGGATGCAGTCTTCAGATATGAGAAGATACAGCCTGAGGTGAGAGGGTCCCTGGACCTGGGGTGGGGGGTTTTCCAGCAGTGAAGCAGGTAGGCCTTATGGGTCATGGACATCTGAGTGTCCATGTTGAAGAGAGACAGAGACACTCGGGTCACCTGCATGCTTTCTGAGACTGACCCACAGCAAAAGAGGAACCAGGGAGATGCTGTCTAAAGCCCGAGAGGATCCTGTCCTGCTCCTTCCCAGAGCCCTGTGAGATGTCACAGGGCCTCTGCCAAGCACCTGCCCCGGGTCCAGCCTGCACCAGCCTTGGGAAAGAACAGAGATCAGCCTAAAGTGAGGTCCCCTCAAGCAAGTCCCCCTTTCCACCGGGCTTCAGAGAACCCCAAACTCATTCACTTGAAACCTCCTTGTCGAATGCAGCCTATTTGATCTAAAAGTGGGGAAACCTGCATCCCCATTTTGCCAACAAGGAAGCTGAGGATCTGACAGCACAGCTGGAATACAGGAGGCTCCTGAAAGTGGGTTCCCCACAGGCCAAATCAGAATTCCCTTGCCACTGAAGCTTGCTGGAAATGAAGAACTTTTGAATGGATCAACCAGGCACTTAAGTATATGAGTGGAAAAATATGTTCACAAAGGGAACGTCACCATTTCACTTCCCAGTCTGTTGCTGGAAGTTCCTGTGGTGGGGTTTCACTACCCTGCATGACCCGGCGCAGCACTCCTCTCCCTGCCTCATGCTCCTGCTCCTTCCCCAGCCCACTGGCTGAGGAACCGTCCTGGGCTGGAGGCTGGCTGAGGCCCTCAGGTTCCACTGCATCGCTTCCTCTCCTGAGTTGAATGACGGAGTGGGGACGAGGCTGGTAGGCATTTGGGAATTGGAGAAGCAAGAACCTCTCTGTGGAGGGGCAGTTGTCATGACACAGGAGCTTTCCAGCTCTTCACACTACATCATGTGGTCTCTGAGCCTGTTTCTTCATCTCTATGCGGACAATAGAAAACCTCCAGTCCTGCCTGCCTGGCTTTGCACATCAGCTGCACCCAGTAGCTCCCTTGACCAGAGACTGCAGTTGGGCTCCAGGCTCCACAACTTCGCACTAAGGCCGGCATCCGGGCTGTCCTCGTTCAGGGTGGGTTGGGAGGAAGATGGGCTACTCAGGCCTGCCCTGCAACCCTGGCCCCCTTCCAGGCAGTCCTCAGGCAACAAGGTCATCTGCTGATGGTCCGCTTACTCAGAGCCTCCATCCCGCTCACTCAGGGTTCAAGTTCATCTCCCCCTCCCTCCCCTCCAAGCAGTCTCCAGGAGCTTCGGCCTCCTCAGGATCATGCAGAGCCACCACCACTTGCCCAAGGATCACCGCAGTGGCCTCCAGCTGGACTCCTGTCATCCCGCCAGCTCCTCCTCTGCACTCCCAACAGTGTTCTTTAAAAAAAACCTTTGACTCAGCAATTCCACTGCTAGGAACTTACCCAGTGGTTCTGCAGGCAAAAGTAAGACACATGAATGAGGACGCTCACTGCACTATTATTTCTAATAACAACTGGAAACAACCCGGATCGCCATTAACATACTAATGCGGCAGCCCAAAACAATGAAGAGATCCTATGTGCTGATGTGGCAAGAGCCTACGACCCAGGGACATCAGGTAAAAGGAAGTGCAGAACAGGCTATAAACAGGATGACTCCTCAGTCACGTACATATGTGTGTTCTTACAGACACACATTTTCACCAACAGCATGAAAGAAACTCTAAGCTCTGTTATCATTAGGGAAAAGGACTAGCTGGGGACTGCCTTGGGTGGGTCAACTTATATTTTCCTGAACTCTGAACTTTTATCATTTATGTGTAATTGTTTCCTGTCTGTAAAATAAAAGTAAAACGGGCAACAGGGCTCAGAGTCCCCGGGGCCCCAGGTCAGCTCCCCTGGGAGGTGAGGTGTTTGGTATTCTGGCCCCTCCCAAGCCGGCCACTCCAGCCCCAGCCTAGCCCCCAGCGCTCCCCACTTCCAGTCACTCCCCATCCCCAGAGTCCTCTGTGGCTGGCTGCTTTTCCTGGTAATCCCTCCTGCTCCCTCCCCACCTGCCTACCCTGAAAGGTAAGCTGTCAAGTGGAAAGAGCCCAAACCTGGGAGGCAGAGACACAGGCAGGACGCCCCTTTGCCACTGCCTAGCTGAGAGCTCCTCCCTCTGCTGGAAGTTCCCACACTAACTGCTCTCAGCAGTCCCTCAGCAGGAATTACAGCCCAACAAAGCCACCTCGCCCAAGGTCCCGCCTTTGGGGGCTCTCAGTAAGCAGCACATATCCAATGGCTGGTGCCAGGCCAGGGGTGTTTGTAGAAGGCTCAACTCCCTTGCCTCTGGTTCCAGAGTGCCCATGAACAGGGTGAGGCCTCAGGTGCAGCCACACAGCTCGGGCCCGCCATCCCCCACCTGCTGTTGCCTTGGCTGTCTTCAAATAAAAGTCTCCCAAGCGTTTGCTTGGGGACGCTGACCTATAGCACCAGCTGGGTGACCTTGGACAAATTCCTTTAATTATCCATGTTTTCTCCTTAGGGCCTAGAACAGTGAATGGCACATGCTAGGCATGCAATATTTTCTTTTTTCTTTTTGAGATGGGAGTTTTGCTCTTGTTGCCCAGGCTGGAGTGCAATGGCATGATCTCAGCTCACTGCAACCTCTGCCTTCTGGGTTTAAGTGATTCTCCTGCCTCATGCTCCCAAGTAGCTGGGATTACAGGCATGAACCACCCCCACGCCTACCCAGTGTTTTTCTTTTTTTTTTTGAGACAGAGTTTCACTCTTGTTACCCAGGCTGGAGTGCAATGGCGCAATCTCAGCTCACCGCAACCTCCGCCTCCTGGGTTCAGGCAATTCTCCTGCCTCAGCCTCCTGAGTAGCTGGGATTACAGGCACATGCCACCATGCCCAGCTAATTTTTTGTATTTTTAGTAGAGACGGGGTTTCACTATGTTGACCAGGATGGTCTCGATCTCTTGACCTCGTGATCCACCCGCCTCGGCCTCCCAAAGTGCTGGGATTACAGGTGTGAGCCACCGCGCCTGGCCTGCAGTGTTTTTCTTGAATATGGAAATGACGCTGACCTTTTAAGGGGTGTGTGGAGATGAAAGATGCTGTGTATAAGGTGCCTTGCATGGCAACGGTGTCTGGCACAGATCAGGACGTGACATTATTTGGACAGAGGCCAGCTGAACCAAGGGTATACTTGGCCCATTAACCAGGATACGAGGGAGAAATCTACAGTAAATATTCTAGTGAGATATTCTGCAGTCCCTATGGAATGTGTCCACAATTTAAATAATGCCGTAAGAACCTAGTGACCGTCACAGTATCTGCCATGTGGCAGACACTACACACACACAACCTACTCTTCAACACAAAGTAAGTCACATTAGCCCCAGGTTTCAGATGAAGAAATACAAACAGACAGATGAAGATACTTCTCTAAGGTCACAACATGGGTCGAGGGCAGAGCTGGGCTTCAGCTGGGGCAGGTCAGGCTCCAGGACTTGGACTTGTACAGGGGCCCTTTTGGATGGCACCCTCACACCAAACACAGGCTTCAGTGCAACACAAGGGCTCTTTATTGTCAGCAAGAGCGGCGGGCCAAATGAGCACTGAGGCTCCACGGGGCCCAGGCCCTCTTCCGTGGAAGAGAGGCAAGGGAGTTTTCAGGATTCAGAGGGGTCCTCGGCTCACACCACACCGTGCAAATATAAAGCTAAAAACTTTCTGAATGTCTCTGGCTTGAAACCAACCGGCCCAACAGGTTCCTGGAAAGAACAGAGCCCATTAGGATCCTGCTATTAGATTTAATGGCAGCAATTAAAACAAAGATTGGCTTGAAGTAGATCTTCAGTGCCTGGACAGTAACTGTTTCTTTTTCTGACATCGTCTCTCTTTCAGACTAAGAAGGGGCATTAAGGGGCTGCAGGCTGGGAGGACAGGAGGCATTCCCAGCCCCCTTCAGCCAAAACAGCTGTTGATGCTGCTCTGCTCCTAAGGCCCTCTCACTTCAACCACCAGGAGCAAATGGGCTGTTGCCCTCTCTAATCCCAGAGACAATCATCCCTCACCCATTCCACACACATTTACTGGGCACCTGCTCTCTCTCTCTCTACTGGGCCTGTGTCCCATGCTGGAGACAGAGACACAGCAGTGCCTTGACTCAGGTTCCTGTCCTCAAGGAACTTACAGTCAGATGTTCAAAGAGTGAAAATAAAAGGAGACAGACCCCACTGCAGAAGTAGGAAAAACAAGAAAGCAGGGAGAATTGACTAACTCGCCAATATTTATACGTGGAAGGGTGAGCGGAATGGGCCAGAAAGGAAAAGAAAAGGAAAGAGACTACGGAGAGCCCCGCATATGCAATTGAAGAAGTAGAAATGAAGGCAGGAAGAGCAAGATCAGGCCAGAGCCCAGGGTGCATGCTGGCAGGGGTGGAGTGGCAGGATGTGAGGCTGCAGAGGTGAGGAGGAGCTGTCTCCAAAACAACAAGCCAGGCCCTGAGTCAGTATCCTAGAAAGGAGAGGCTGAGGAAAGAGAACCTGAAGACACAGAGTCAGGAGGGAAAACCCGACTAAAAGCAGAGAACATGGAGCTGGCTGGTGTGACCATGCAGGTGAACTGAGGGTTTCTGGGACCAAGGGAAAGGGCACAGACCCGGCAGACATTTCAGGTGGAGAGAGCACTGAGAGCTGCCAGAGAATTAGTTCAAGAAGTGACCTGCTGAGAATGTTCAAAGGCTCAGTGACTCCATTTGGCAAGCCTGTACTCAGGCCTGTGTGGGACCTAGCTGGTCCCAGAGCAGGGACCCCTACTCTGCTTTCTCAGTCTCTGACCCTGCTGTGTGTCTTTCCAGGGTGCATCTCACTGGCTGACACTCTATCAGGAATTTACTTAGAAGCTGCTACTGCCCACTACACAGAGAACAGGCCTGGACACTGTCAGCTAAGCAGTGGGGTGCAGCAGTGATGGTGCCACGGGAGGAACTCCGTATCTGTGGGATGAAATGAATGTATCCCCCCAGGCCCTGCCCTCGAGGAGCTAGGAGCTTGGAGCTGTTTGGTAGAAGAAAAAAAACACGTGGAGCGATTCTACTCACAGCAGCGTGACTGTGCTATGCTGGGGCAATCCAGAGGCCAGGGCAGCCCGCCTGAGGCACTTAAGTGAGGGCTTGGATGGGGACAGGGGTGGTCAGTTTCCCAGAATAGGAAACACTTATGGTAAACCTGGAGGACAAGTGGAGGATAGTCGGACAAAGGGTAATGGCAAGGGGAGAAGACAAGAAGCCTCCTAGATGAAAGGAGCAGCATGTACAAAGGCCAGAGCTCATGAAGCCGCAGAGCACCCTGGGAGCTGCGAGGAACTGGATTGGCTGGAGGGTGCAAAGGGAAGCAGGAGCTGGAGTGGAATGCTGGGCAAGGCCTTAGCAGCGGCAGGGCTAAAGGAGCCCTGAAGATGGAGATCCTGGGTGGGAAGTCCCCAGGGCCAGAGCTCTACTCCCAGAGCACCCCTGCAATCCCACCTGAAGAGCATACCAGGTAGGCGGAAGCATGGCCCTCTTCCTATCACCAGGCGGGAGATGGCTCAACTTACCACAACCACTCTCTTCTTGATCACTGGGAGACACCAAAAATGCTGATAGAGGACCTGGTCTGAGTCCACCCACGCCAAATTCTTGACACCCTCGTTAGAGGCCAGGTCTGTGGTATTCAGTTGAAACACCAGGAAATGGAAGACACGTCCATCCGTGCCCACACTTTGCACCACCACAGGCTGCTCCAAGACCTTGGCATCATTCTGAGAGGAAAAGGGGACAAGGGAAACAAATCAGAAGCTGTGGAGTGTAAGGAATAGCACGGCCCAGACAGCTTCTAGCTCTGCCCTTTACAATGTCCACCTATGCCCACTGAATGGCTTCTCTTCGGGCAACTAAAATAGAACGAGGAGTTCAGGGCACTGTCCAGGGCCGGGCCTTCCTTCAGCCAGGTTGGCTGTGCCGCATGGCCCCAGGGTGCCCACTCTTCAACTGGAGCACATCAAAGTAACAGTTCCTGCCACTGAAAGGCGATTTCCAGGCAAGCCAGAGTTCAGGCAGGCCAGCTGGAAGGCTAACAACAGAAATCCCTCAAACTCTTGGCGTTACTTGATGAGAACCACAGTGACATCAGCTATCAAATATGAATCCGGAGGGTCAATGGATAGATGTAATGTCATTCAGTTCTCACTCCACTTGACAGATGGGGAAACTGAGACTCAGTGAGGTAAAGTGACTTGCCTGAAGTCACAAAGATGGGTGGTGTAGAACCCAAACTGGCTCATGCCAGATCACACACTTCCCCCACCCCCACCCCTGCCTTGAATCTAAGGGCCTGGCAGTCACCTTAGCTGGGCCTCATGCTTACAAAACAATACAGCATGGGCCACGTTTCAGGATTATCCACTACAGCTGTGTCAGCGTCAGGATTTCAGCAGTCAACTCCTGCTACTGATCTCTTCTAGTTACTGCCACTTAGGAATAGTAGTAACACCTAAAACATTTACTGGAGGCCCCTCAGGTGCCAGGCAGCTTGCCAGTTTTACATCAAGTCAGCTCTACTCATAAATCTAGAGGTATATTCCCACTAACAGATAAGGAAACTGAGGTTCAGAGAGGTGGTATAATTTGTTCTAGGTCACCCATGGGGTATGAATCAGGATCAGACTCGATGCTATTAAGTCACTGAAAGCCCTGTTCTTTTTGTTCTGGTTTAATCCTGGTGTCCCAGTGTATCTAATAGTGGCACCTCATCATTCTCAGTGGTGGCCCAGTTTGGGAATAAATCATATGGTGAGCTACTGAGACTTTGCAGCAATCCAGTTTGGTGACTGCTACTCACTGAACAAAGATCCAGCAGGCAGGCCCCATGAAGCAGGCCATGCTTGATTCAAAAATGCTGCCTCTGTTCATCCCACTGGGGCTGAACCTGGCATTAGGAATACCTAATGTCAGACCTCAGTGTGGGCCACACTGAGGCTGTTGGCCTTAGAAATAACTGTTCTTCACTGCATGAAAAATAAATAAAAAGAAAAGTACCTGTAAGTGTTAGCTGAGAATTCTGTATTGACTCTTATCTCCCTCTACAGATCAATAAAACTGCAGGTAGTACATAAATTTCTCAGCAATTTTACCTTTTACATGGAGGCTCTTCCCATAATTGCTCAACTTCACATCCCTAGGAATAATTTGTACCTGGAGGGGCTGAAGGAGGCCTTCTCTCCTACCCAACTGGGTGGCAATTAGTGCCATCGTTGCTACCCAGGCTCTGCTGGCAATAGCTGGCACAGAAGCTACAATGAGTCCGCAGGCCTGGGACCAGGGTTGTGACTCTCTTCCTCCTACCCCTGTCCGAGTTAAGAGTCACACATCCTTCAAATCTGGAGAGATCACTGTTCCAGTCTTTGTTTCCCCACTCATTAGCTGTGGGATCTTGGGCAAGCTACCTATCCTTTTGGAGCCTTTAGAAAGTATACAGTCAGAGAATGGGAATAAAGACAACTGTCCTAGGACTGGAGAGACACAAGAAGGTCACATAAGGAGGTGACACCTACTAATTTCTTAGCTGTGTGACCTTGGGCAAGTTCCTTAGCCTCCCTGAGCCTCAGTTTTACCATCTATAGAGTGAAGCTAATAGCATCTGCCACATGGGGTTAAAAAACTACAATTATTAAGTAGCGCAGTGGTCCTGAAATTTCAGTTCAGTGGTTTTCTTTTCCTTTCTTTTTTTTTTTTGAGGCAGAGTCTCACTCCGTCACCCAGGCTGGAGTACAGTGGTGCAATCTCAGCTCACTGTAGCCTCCAACTCCCAGGTTAAAGTGATATTCATCCCTCAGCCTCCCAAGTAGCTGTGATTACAGGTGCTCACCACCACATTCACCTAATTTTTGTATTTTTAGTAGAAATGGGGTTTCACCATATTGGCCAGACTGGTCTTGAACTCCTGACCTCAAGTGATCCTCCCACCTTGGCCTCCCAAAGTGCTGGTATTACAGGTGTAAGCCACAGCACCTGGCCAGTTCAGTGGTTTTTTAACTTGAGCTTGGAGCAGCATCACTGCGGGACTTGTTAAAATACTGATCACTGGGCCCCAACTCCAGGGTTTCTGATTCAGTAGGTCTGGGGTGGGTCTGAGAGTATGCACTTCCAACAAGTCCCCAGATGATGCTCCTGCTGCTAATCCAAGACTCTATTTTATGAACAAACCACTGTGGTTTTTTTTTGTTTGTTTTTTTAAATAAAAATCCTAAGTAAATGTGTGGTATGCAGCAGGTGTTAGATCTGGGCCAGGCCCATTCTACTGCCTATCCATTTGGCTAACCATGGCTCTCCAACCCCTCTAGGCCAAATAAGATGGGAAACAGTACTTTTCCTTATTCCTACTCTAGAAGAGACTCAGGCTCTAACCAAGACCTAGGGGTCCAGCAGTGGCTCTCATGAATTCCCCTGTCCCAAACCAGGGATCTGTGTCCTTGGCCTGCTTGAGGGTTCCCATACAGCCCTCCCCTCCCTAGAGGCCCTTGTCCTTAGGGCCAGGCTTTTCCCATCTTGGGACAGCTCTCTGTGACAAGTTAGTCTGTATTCTATACCTTCTAGGTCCCTGAGACCTCCTGTTAGGATCAGGGGCTACTGCCAAGGAGTATCGTGGGTCCCCAGCACCCATCCTGAGTTGGCGGGCAGGGCTTGGTCATCTCTATTGCTCCACCTCCTCCTGCCTGTGCTCTACTTCTGACACTACAAGAACAGAGGCAGCATGCTGCAGCACAAATAACTGAAGACTTCAGAGTGGGGCGGACCTAGCTGCAGTCCTAGCTCCATGCCAGATAAGCTGCACGGCCTTCCTGTAATTCTGTGGCATAGCTTGGAAGGTGGGGACTTCACTGTGATCAAGTGAGCTACTCAGGTGAAGCACAGGCAGTCAGCCCGTAGTGATGTGGTTCATCTCCTCCTTTAGGGAGGAGCTGAAGTGCTCCTCCCTAAAACTCCTCAGTTTAGGAATCAGTTCCCTACATCCCCCCCTTTCTTCCTCTGAGCAATAACCTTAAGGGAGAAGACCCAACACCACGTAAAGCAGCTCAGCGGTCTTCTCCACATACGTACCCCATAGAGGAGCCGGGCCTGAGCCAGGGCACTGCCAAAAGCAAACAGGATCATCTTGGCCCGCAGCTGATCTGGTTGAAAGCGGCGTGGTCGTAAATTGGCTTTGTCCAGTAAGTACAGGGTATGGGGATAGGGGTAAGGATAACCTTCCCGGAATCCTGCAAGAGACACAATCATATGGAGGGGTAAAAAGGATTCATCAGCCTGCCACAAAGCCTCAGGAAAGTCACCCTGCCTTAGCCCAGGGACAGGTGCTACACAGAGGCTCAACAAAAGGAGATATTATCACTATAGCTCAGGGGCTGGCAAACTTCAGCTTGCTGGCCAAATCTGGCCTGCTGCCTGTTTTTGTAAATAACGTTTTTATTGGAGTACAACCACACTCACTCATTTACGTCTGTCTATTGGGTAGCTGTGACAGAGACCATATGTGGCCTGCAAAACCTAAAATATTTACTATTTGGCTCTTCACAGAAAATGCCTACCAACCTGCTATAGGTGCTTCCTGCAAGCTAGTTCTAACTCCACACCTTTCTCTCTCATTCTGGCATACAGATGACAGTGATGTTAGGAGAACGAGAACTTGAAATCTGTGGTAATTATTAAAAAGAAAGCAAGTCATTTGCAAAATTTACTACTTTAATATTAGTGACAAATGACTCGCCTCATCATTCACAACTGACCCACACAACACTGGTGCTGAGATCAAAGTTTAGCACTTGTTCTTCTCAGCCATGACCTTGTCAAGTCATGATTCTCTTCCCCCACATGGCTATGAGTAACTCTTGGTAGGCTGGGAACTTCTAGAATAAGTGATCTGGATAAGTGAATACAGGTGAAAAAGAAGCAAGGAAGAGGTTGGGAAGGCTGAGCATGGTGGCTCATGCCCATAATCCCAGCACTTTGGGAGGCTGAGGCGAGCAGATGGCTTGGGCCCAGGAGTTTGAGACCAGCCTAGGAAACGTAATAAGAACCTGTCTCTAAAAAGAATACAAAAATTAACCAGGTATGGTGGCACATGCCTGTGAGGCTGAGGTGGGAGGACTGCTTGAGCCGGGGAGGCTGCAGTGATCCACAATCGTACAACTGCACTCCAGCCTAGGTGACAGACTGAGACTGTGTTTCAGAAAAAAAAGAAAAAAGAAAGAGGCTGGGAAAATAATGTAGGCTCTGAAAATCCTAGAGAAGGTTTCTGAAAACCCTAGAGTCTCTCCTGCATGCTTTCCTTGACGGAGTTTGGATTAATGGCCCCACTCAATGTCCATGGGGCTTCCTCAGTCCTTTAAGAGGGTTGGCCAGAGTTAGAGGGTAAACAGAAAATGGGTGCCTTTCATGAGACCTATGAATAAAGAAAAAGCCTGGGTCAAAAGCCCTGCAAGTGGCCAATGATACAGTTTGTTGAAGGAAAAAAAAAAGCCCTCAAGCCACTCTGATGTAACAGACTAACCGAGTTACTTCGCAGAGGTAAACCGTAAAGTCAGCCTTTAAGCAAATCACTTCTCCTCCCTAAGCTGCAGTTTGCCTGTGAAATGAAGACAACAGTACTTGTCTCATGGGGCTGCCACATGGATCCTAGGAGATAGGTAATACACGTGAGGTGCCTGGTACCCAGCAAGTTCTTAGTATATCCTTTCCCTCCAGAAACACCATGTCCTTCTCCCCTACACTGCCTAAGAGTCCAAGACATTGATCTTTACCTGTGTGATCTTTCACATCATAAACATTGCATTCATGAAGGTCGATTGTGGGTGATATGGGATAGAAGGTCTCTAGAACATGATTCTTAGTAGCTTCAACCTCCTCTCTGGAGGCGATGGTGGGCAGAGGATCCTTAGTGTTCAGCTGGGTGTCAATAAAACCACGGACCTGAAGGAGAAGAGACTCTAAAAGGGAGAAAAATGGTTACTCTAACCTGGTATAAAGGCTTTCTCAGCTGGGCAGAGTAGCTCATACCTATAATCCCAGCATTTTGGGAGGCCAAGGCAAGTGGATCATTTGAAGCCAGGAGTTCTAGATCAGCCTGAGAAACATGATGAAACCCCGTCTCTACTAAAAAATATTAAAAATTAGCCAGGAGTGGTGGCGCACACCTGTAATCCCAGCTACAAAAAGACCGAGGCATGTTAATTGCTTGAACCTGGGAGGCAGATGTTGCAGTTGCCAAGATTACGCTATTGCACTCCAGCCTGGGTAACAGAGTGAAACTGTCTCAAAAAACTAAAAATAAATAAATAAAGACTTTCTTAACTCTGTAAAGCCTAAAGCCTCCACCCTCCCATGTGCCTCAAGTCATTTATAGCTTTTCTAGATCATCAGCCTAATCACAGAACACAAAACTCTGAGTTAGGATGTTAATCCTGGGATCCTTAAGAAGGGATGAACCAATGCACTCTTCTTCCTGTGTTCTCTTCCCAATAAACCCTAGGGGCTACTGGTCTCTGGGGAGTGAAGCCTGCACCATACCTGAGCACCTGCTAAGCTGGGGACCCAGAGATGTGTGTGAGATACTCTCTGCTCTCAAGGAGCTCACCAGGTAGTGAGTGCTACAATGAAAAGGATGAAGCATATTGAAAAATTATACAGGTGGGGAAAAACTGAACTTCTCTGGGAATGGGAAACTCCCTGAAAGAAGCAACGCCTTAAGATGACATCTGGAAGGATGGGTAAGAGCAGGGATTCTCAACTGCAGCACTATTCACATCGGGACAGATAATTTTTTGGTGAGGGGGTGTCCTGTGTACTGTGGGATGTTTAGCAGCACCCTGGCTTCTACTTACTAGACGCCAGTTGAACTCCCTCCCCATCCCTTATTCCCACACCCATCCACAGCATATCAAAGATGTCTCCAGACACTGCCAAATGTTTCTCCCTAATTGAAAGCCACTGGGTGAGAGCTTGCCAGGCCAAGACAGGGGGAAAAGCACACTAGTTAAGGAGGAATAATGTCCAAAGGCACAGGTGCAGGCAACTCCATGGCAGAATTTAGGAAGAGAAATCTAGGTGACTAGAGTAGGATACAGCAGGGAAGGAGCAATGGAGAAAGAGAGGCACACCGAGACTAGAGGCAGAGGAGATTCTCAAACTTAGGAAAGAGGCCAGATTGTCCTTAACAACTGAGAGTGAGAAAACCCTGGCCAGTTAAACAGCCTCACTGATGTCAGATTAGCATATATGCTACATGCAGATGTAGGTGGCATGGGGAAAGCAAACACACGTCTGACTCATCAGCAAGCCATGGTGAACGTGTGGAGACAACATTCACAGAGGTCCCCACAGAAGATCACATGCTGCCACCAGACAAAATGTGCCTGGAAAAACACCTTGGGAATGGCCTCCTGAGGAGTATCCACAGAGGCCAAATCTTTCTCAGAAGTGCTTGGGTTTTCAGAAATAGCCACAGCGTGATAATGGATCAAGGCCGTTTTTCTTATATGTCTAAAAATTGGTTTGGTCAACAGCACTGTCATTAATTAGCATGTGGCCTCCCTTACTGGGTAGGTAAAGAAGGGATACTACATCTGTGGGTGGATAAACTCTGACCTGTTTGTTAAAATACATCACACTCACACCTCAAGAACAGTTTTCTAAAGTATTTCCTGTTTCCTCACATATAATCTGCAAGAAAAATAAATGTGCATGGACCTCTCCTAACCTTGGGTTTTCAATTCTCCCCACAGACCACTCTTGTGTGGTTTCTGATTCAATTCCCTCCATATCCCTCCTCCAGTGACAGCTCCAAATGGGGTAGTTTAATTAGAGGTAATACTTGATGATGGGCCAAGTACTCCTCTATTAATGAGGTTCACTAATTTCCTTAGTGGTGTCATTACCTCTGCAAAGCTGACTCTTTGCCAGGAAGTCTATACACAAATGGGCAAGCTGGAGACCTGACCAAGCAGATGTTCTGAAATCCCAAATCATTCCATAGCTGGTTTCCCTGCTCCAGGATTCCACCAGTTACAACACCTCTGTTCTCTGAATATTCCTGCCTGAAACACGGACAATATGCATTTACGCATCCCTTCAGTCAGCACCTACTGTGTACCATGACTTGTTGGACACTGGGGACAAAGTCAGTAAGACACGGTCCCAGCCATCGGGAGTTCAGTTTAGTGGGGCAGACAGAACCAACAGTAGATACTGACAGTAGTGTCATCTATGCTACGATGGCAGAATGGGCATAAGGAACACAGATGAGGAACAGATACCCCAGTCTGGATTCACAGAGAAGGGAGGCTTGAGTGAGGTCTTGCAGATAAGGAGAACATGGTTAAATGAAGAAAGCAGAAAAGAATATTCCAGGCTGGGCATGGCAGGAGGCTCACGTTTGTAATCCCAGCACTTTGGGAGGCTGAGATGGGCGGAACACTTGAGGCCAGGAGTTCGAGGCCAGCCTGGCCAACATGGTGAAACCTCATCTCCACTAAAAATACAAAAATTAGCCAGGCGTGGTGGCACATGCCTGTAATCCCATCTCCTCTGGAGACTGAGGCATGACTATCACTTTAACCCAGGAGGCAGAGGCTGCAGTGAGCTGAGATCATGCCACTGTACTCCAGCCTGGGCAACACAGCAAGACTCCGTCTCAAAAACAAACAAACAAGAGTATTCCAGACAGAATGCACAGCATGTGCCAAGGCACATGGGTGTGAAAGCTTGATGCTAAAAAGCTGCAAGTGGCTAATTTAGGGATGGGGTGGGCAGGGCAGGAGATAAGACTAGAAAGACTAAGTGGCAACTAAATCACGAGGGCTGGTAACCCTCAATAAATGGTTTACACTACTGGGAGACAGTGAAGGATTTGAAATGGGGCAGGGACATAAAAAGACTTGTACTTTGGAAAGATCCCTCTAGCAAGCCATGTTGAAAATGGATTTGGAAGAGTAAGGTGTAAGTAGGGTAAGAAGACTATTGCAATAGAAATTGAGCTTTATGAGGGCAGAGACTACATGTGTGTTATTATTTCCTTACCTTCAGCATGTAGGTACTTTCCATGCACATCCTAAGCACTCAATAGATACAGCTGACTGTTAACGGTTGAGTTAATGTCTTAGAAAGTGATTAAAAACAAAAATCGTTGGGCTATGGCGAATTATACTGAGGGTATATCTGAACCTACAAAATTAGACCACGAAGGACAGGAGTGAGGATAGGTATTTGGGAGCAGGGGGATGGGAGCTGGTGATGGGGCTAAGAATAGAAACGAAAAAAAAAAACAAAACTAAAAAACAGATCAAGGCTTTCTGGTGTACAAGATAACCAACCTCGGTTCCAGTAAGCAGATGACATGGAGTTTTGGGCACACATCCGCCTGGCCAGAGAAGGATGCTTGAGAATCTGAGATTTACACAACTGTATTAGATTGTCCACGATGACTGGGCTTGGAGACAAAAAGAGACATTTGGGGACTTAAAGCAATAGGTCGACTCCAAGATCCATTAGTTGGAAATGTTCTTTACTTGGGGAAACTTACCAGTAGGTCTCTCTCTTGGGGATTTCTTCAGTGCAATGCCAGAGACGGGCATGAGAGATCACACTCAGAACGCGCTCATCTTGGTTCTCTATGTGGTTCCTTGGATCATCAACAAGGCTAAGTACTTTCTCAGGAAGGCCTTCTATTAACTTGGTCTTGGTAAGCCAGAGGGCCTGCTTTACACCTTTGAGGTAATCAGCCACACGCACAGACACACACAAAGAACGAAAGAAAGCAATTCAGGAAGAGATACTTACACCTACCAGGTACCATCTTAGTAAAAAGGCTGCCTCAAGAGAGAAACTGGATTTGTTCTGTGACACCTGAGGGGACAGAACCAAAAGTGAAGAGCAGAAGCTAAGAAAGCCAGATTTCAAGTCAAATTCAGGAATGACCATCTACTTCAGGATGGTTAACATGTGTTCAGGAACAACCATCTACTTCAGGATGGTTAACAGGTGACTGAGGTGGTGACTGCCTGCCACTAGAGGAATTCAAACAGTGGCTAAAGACAGCTGAGATCATATGGCTGAATGCTGCAAGCAGTGGATTGACCCTGGGCTATGGGACTAAATTGATAGATGCCAACCCTTCACTTAGGATCCTTTCTAATAACCCACACCCCAGCCCTGATTAAAAAAGCCCGTGTCTACCAAATGTACCTCATTTTTTAGGGCGGGCCCAGGCATAGGCCCATGCTGCCTTCTCAGGAGAAAGCAACTTTTGGAAATAACTGGGAATACCTTTGGAATTTTCATGAATACTTTAAGGAGCTGAACCTCCCTGGCCTTAGGATAGAAAGGTTGGGCTTTTCCTGGATACAGTACTGTTTCGTGTGTTTTTTTAATTTAAGATGAAATCTCACTCTGTTGCCCAGGCTGGAGTGCAGCAGCATAAACTCAGCTCACTACAAACTCCACCTCCCGGGTTCAAGCAATTCTCATACCTCAGCCCCTCAAGTAGCTGGGATTACAAGCGTGCACCCACTGTGCCCAGCTAATTTTTGTATTTTTAGTAGAGACAGGGTTTCACCATGTTGTCCAGGCTGGTCTCAAACTCCTGACCTCAACTGATCCACCCACCTAGGCCTCCCAAAGTGCTCGGATTACAGGCCTGAGCCACTGTACCTGGCCTGTTGTCTTATAGGCATGGTGAATTGTCTCTATGCCAGAGGTTAACAAGCATTTTCTCAAAAGGACAAATAGTAAATATTTTCAGCTTCTGGGCCACACAATCTCTCTCACAACTATTCAACTCTGCTACTAGAGCACAAAAGTAGCAATAGGCAATAATTAACAAGTGTGCATGGTTTTGTTCCAATAAAACTTTATTTATAAAAACAAGCAGATGATCTAGTTAGCTGACCCTAACTGCGTATCATTTGTTGATTGTTAGAAAGCTCAGAGCCAGGTTTGGGGCTTCCCTTTAGAAAGCAGAACCTGAGGTTGGGCGCAGTGGCTCATGCCTGTAATCCTAGCACTTTGGGAGGCTGAAGCGGGCAGATCACTTGAGGTCAGGAGTTTGAGGCCAGCCTGGCCAGCATGGTGAAACCCCAGCTCTACTAAAAATACAAAAAAAATATTAGCTGGGTGTGGTGGCGCTTGCCTGTAGTCCCAGCTACCTGAGAGGCTGAGGCAGGAGAATCATTTGAACCCGGGAGGCAGAGGCTACAGTGAGCCAAGATCACACCACTGCACTCCAGTTTGGGCAACAGAGCAAGACTCCCTCTCAATAAATAAATAAATAAATAAAATACAGTAGAACCTCACAGGATAAATTTTTGTGGTATTCATCTTACTGTTTTATTTTTCCTTCGTACTGATCCCCCCACCTATCTGTTTTTTTAATTTAATCAAGTGTTATAAATAAACTGCCCAAAATACTTTGCATGAAAGATGGTATATACATAGCCAGGCCCAGTGGCTCATGCCTATAATCCCAGCAACTCAGGAGGTGGGAGGATGGCTTGACCTCAGGAGGTCAAGGCTGCAGTGAACTATGATCACACCACTGCACTCCAGCCTGGGTGACAGAGTGAGACCCTGTCTCTAAAATAAATAAATAAATTAGTAACAGAAAATCACTGAACAAAAAATAAATAAATAAAAGATGGCGTATATGTAAACTAAAATAGATTCAATTTAGCCTGACAGTCTTTAAAGAAACTTAGCTACCCTCAGTGGGATGGGCTGTGGTGCCAGGCAAAGACCTCCCTAGATTCACCTTCCCCAAATTTGGCTTCTCTAAGGGAGGAACATGCATAGTCCTAGGTATCTTAAGTTCTGGATCAAGTAAACACACCAGTCCTCTATTCTCAAATGAAAAGCTAATACTATATTCTTCTCAATGATCACGCCCACAAATTGACAGAAGGCTGGTGGCTGCCTTGGTTGGCAGAATACTCATCTGAGCTGGAGGAATACTTCTCTGACTCAAGATCATATCTTCATTTGAAAAACTGTGCCTGGGCCAGACACGGTGGCTCACACCTACAACCTCATCACTTTGAGTGGCTGAAGTAGGCAGATTGCTTTGAGACCAGCCTGGGCAATGGGGTGAAACCCCATCTCTACAAAAGAAATATAAAAAATCAGCCAGGCGTGGTGGTGTGTGCTTGTAGTCCCAGCTACCTGGGAGGCTTAGGTGGGAGGATAGATTAAACCCAGGAGGTAGAGGTTGCAGTGAGATTGTACCACTGCACTCCAGCCTGCAAGACAGAATGGGACTCTGTTGAAAGAAAAAAAAAGAAAGAGAGAGAAAGGAAGGGAGGAAAGAGACAATGTATGGGATGAAAGGGAGCTTAGGATACTTTGGGGGAGATACCCTTAGGCAATTTATTTATGGTAATAAATATTAAGACTTTATGTTTCATTTGCATATGAAAAACAGGTGATAACTAGAGCTGCCATTTACTGAAAGTCACCATCTACCCTGTGCCATGAGCTTTATGTGCAAGGTAGATGGGATTTTATAAAATGAAACTCAGAGACTAAGGAATTTGCTCTAACTTACATACCTTGTAAGTGACAAGGCCAGGAGGAGAACCTGAGTCTGTCTACGCTAAAGACCATCACCTCTCCCCTTTATCTCTACTGGCTTCTCTAGCCCTGTATCTTGCAGAATTTTATTACAGCCTACAGAATCTCTCTGTGAGTAGCAAAAACACAGGATATACAATACATTTTCAGCGTAGGCAAACGAATGTAATCTCCTAACATCTAAAATACTGCTAACGCATTCATCCACTTGAGGGTCACTCAAGGATGCCAAGTCTTGTGAGATTCTTTCCAGCACCTTGTAAGGACACTGGAAGTGTTTAAAGGCTGGAAAATCAGCTTTTAAGAATGGGATTGAGAAGCTTAAGAAGCTGGCCAATTGACTTAAGTTTTTTCAAACCTAGGATTTATTATCTGGCTTACTCCCCAAATCCTGCCAAGTCTTTTTTTTTCCTAATTACTCCTTGGAAAATACTGTTCCCCCTTACCTCAAACATTTTGTTTTCAAGACCTGCCCCATGCCTATCCTGATTTGGATGGGGAAGGAAAATGGAAGAACGGGAAAAGGGATAAACAAGCCCCACCATGGACTCTGGAAAATAATTTCTGGTACTGTTTTGGATAGACAGGCTGATTTTGGCAAAGTAATTTTAATCTGTCCCTAGTGAGAGTGACAGAGGAGTAGACATGGGCTTGAGAGGTGACAGTCCTGGAGATTAAACATTCTGTCGTCTCTACTATAAAGTCTCTCCATCTACTTTAAAAATGTACAGTTGCCGGGCGCGGTGGCTCAAGCCTGTAATCCCAGCACTTTGGGAGGCCGAGGCGGGTGGATCACAAGGTCAAGAGATCGAGACCATCCTGGTCAACATGGTGAAACCCCGTCTCTACTAAAAATACAAAAAATTAGCTGGGCATGGTGGCGCGTGCCTGTAGTCCCAGCTACTCAGGAGGCTGAGGCAGGAGAATTGCCTGAACCCAGGAGGCGGAGGTTGCGGTGAGCCGAGATCGCGCCATTGCACTCCAGCCTGGGTAACAAGAGCGAAACTCCGTCTCAAAAAAAAACAAACAACAACAACAACAAAAAAAAAAAATAAATAAAAATGTACAGTTAATCTCCAGAATGTCAGACCTGGTATGGTCAACGTGGACTGTCCAGTCAACACCATTCACTTCACAGGAAATAGAGGCCCAGGATGGTTAGCCATTTGCCCAAAGTCAAACAGAGAGAGCCAGAGCTGGGCCTAGAAACCAGGTCTCACGCTGACACACAAACTCTCTATTATACTCCTGCACAGAGGCCCAGCTTCTTACAACTCAATTCTAACAACCATTAGGGCCCCATTGCGCAGACGAAGAATACAAGGCCCACAGAGTTTCAATGTTTTGCCCAAAGACACAGAGGGTCGGGGTCAGCGCTGGGCAGAGGAACATGGTCCCCTGCCGCCCGTCCTGGGGCCTCACCCTCGAGAAGGCGGCAACGATGGTGAAAGATGTAGCAGGGCTGGTCCTTGTACAGCAGATGCTCGTGAAGAGGCGGCGAGCGGTAGGACTGTGGGTGATTCCAGCCGCGGTCCCAGGGCGGAAAGATCGGCCGCGCCAGCCAGGGCACGAAGTGCATCTTCCCCGCATAGGTGATGGGCTCCAGTCCAGGGATCTCGTACACCCTATCCAGGGGAGGAGGCTCCTTCTTCCGCGTGGAGCGCACGCCCCACTCATACGCCCTGCGTCTCGGGGCCCCGAAGCCCCCAAGGCCAAGCTGCCCCGAGCCAGCCAGGGCCAGCCTTGCGGGCCCGGATGCCAACGCCATACCGAACTCCTCAAGACCTCCACCTGGACGCCGCCATCTTGCCGTGCGCAAGGCCTGCTGGGAACGAAAGGGGCTGGGAACCAAAGCTCGTTTTGGGAATGGCAGCCAATTCAACCAATCACACTCAGGATATTCTTGTCTTGCGCCTGCCCCCAGCCCGCTCTCATTTTCTTATAGGTGAGACCTGCTAAGCCTGCCCCGCCTACCCGGGGACTGGGAGGAACCCGTAGAATCCTCCTGTGAGGGGAAACGCAGGCTAGTAGGTGAGTAGTCGTGGCGGGTTCAGAATCGCTCCTGGACTTCCCACCTGGCCTTAGAACAAGGTTGACCGCTTATGAGCAGTTGGTGCTTGGGAAGGCATTTCCGTCTCTGAGGCCCTGTCCACCGCTGTAAAAATAGGGATGGGAATGCCTAAGCTTGTGCATCTGTACAGCGCGCTGCTGCGAGCGCCTCTGTCGCTGCCCCTCTCCTGAGCGTGAGAGTGTCCCCCAAGCCAACTCCGAGCGCGACTGCTCACTGCACACCTCTTCCCCTGCGCCAAAAGCGAGCCACTTTCCTCCCTTTTCCTTTCCCTCTGGATTTCCCATTTCGCCTCCTAAGAGCAGGGAGAGAGCGATGAAGCTGCGCCTTTGCTCCTTGCTCAACACCTGTCTATCAGCTGCCCGCTGTGTCAGGCGCTGCGCTGAGCCCCGGTTGGCATTGGTAAATAAGACAGATGGGAGATGCAGACAGAACGCAGGTAAACAGCGCAAACAAATAAGTCAACTGCGATACACACACTCCCTATCCCTTTTCCGTGTTTTTCTCTTTAGCATTTCGCACTATCGTGCCATCTGTTTTCCATTTTGATCTTGTCTAATAACTGTTTCTCACCCTAAGATGTGAGCTCCATAAGTGCAAGGGTTTCTGTTTCTTCAGTGCTGTATTCCCAGCACTGAGAACAGTGCCTGGCACCTAGTAAATATGTTTAGTGAATGAGCATATAATAGAAATAAGTAGAGTGCCTTATAGAGAAAGAGGACGCGGAAGTTCAGGGAGGGCCTTTGAAGGGAGGTTCAACTTTAAAACCAAGGCCTGGGGTGGAAAAGTCATCCAGCCTGAGACAATATGTGTCAAGGCATGGATTAAAGGTGGTGCCTCTTGAACTAAAAGAGGCTCACTGGACACATGAACCAGCTCTTTAAAATTTATGACTGACATGGCCAACTTTTCTGCTAATTTCCAAAATAGCAGAGAAAGTGGGACCGTTAAAACGCAGAGAAGGTGAAGTCATGGTTCACACCTGTAATCCCAGTACTTTGGGAGGCCTAAGTGGGAGGGGCCTCTTGAGCCCAGGAGTTTGAGACCAGCCTGGGCAACATGGTGAGACCTCCTCTCTACAAATAATAAAATTAACCAGGCATGGTGGTGCACACCTATAGTCCCAGGTACTCAGGAGGCTGAGATGGGAGGATCACTTGGGCCTGTGAGATTGAGTCTGCAATGAGCTGTGATCCTGCCACTGCATTCCAACCTGGGTAATACAGCAAGACTCTGTCTCTCTCTCTCTCTCTCTCTCTCTCTCTCTCTCTCTCTCACACACACACACACACACACACACACACACACACACATCAGCATAAACAGGGGACCAGACCTCATTCACTCATAATGCATACCTGGTCAATAGCATACAATAAAAATGGATTGGGTTGTTGTAATGCTGTGTAGCCTATGAGGCTCTGTGAGAGCAAGGACAATGATCTGTTTACCTTCGTTGCCTCCCAACACCAGCACTGTTTTCCTGGCTCCCAGACTGTATTTGTAACCTGAGTAAGCAGTCACAGGGAACCTTCTATATGCCAGGCTGTGCATGATGGTAGAATACAAAAATAATAAGACACCATCCTTTTTTGTTTGTTTGTTTGAGACAGAGTCTCACTCTGTTACCCAGGCTGGAGTGCAGTGGCACGATCTCAGCTCACTACAGCCTCTGCCTCCTGGGTTCCAGTGATTCTCCTGCCTCAGGCTCCTGGGTAGCTGGGATTACAGGCATGTGCCACCACACCTGGCTAATTTTTGTATTTTTAGTAGAGGCTGGATTTCATCATGTTGGCCAGGCTGGTGTGAAACTGACATCAGGTGATCTGCCCACTTTGGCCTCCCAAAGTGCTAGATTACAGGTGTGAGCTCTCATGCACAGCCTAAGACACCATCCTTGACCTCAAGGGGATTCCAGCCTGCTAAACCTTCCTGAAGTGATAGAGCTCTTAAGCAGTAGTAAGTTTTCTGAAGTTAAACTCTTCTGTTAAAGAAAGATTCATGGCTGGGCATGGTAGCTCATGCCTGTAATCCCAGCACTTTGGGAGGCTGAGGCGGGCGGATCATGAGGTCAAGAGATTGAGACCATCCTGGCCAACATGGTGAAACCCCGTCTTTACTAAAAAATTACAAAAATTAGCTGGGCATGGTGGCACGTGCCTGTAGTCCCAGCTACTCGGGAGGCTGAGGCAGGAGAATTGCTTGAACCTGGGAGGCAGAGGTTGCAGTGAGCCGAGATCACACCACTGCACTCCAGGCTGGCGCCTGGTGACAGAGCAAGACTCTGTCTCAAAAAAAAAAAAAAAAAAGAAAGATTCATCTAACACTGCCTTTCTAAAACCAGTGGTAGTAAGTGGTAAGAGAATTTGGGTAAGGTCTGATCAGGAAGAGCCTTGGGCACCAGGCAAGAGATTGGATTCTATCTAGTAGTCAAAAGGAGCCGTTAAAGGTTGCTAAGCAGGGGACTGGTGGCAGATGTGCTGATGGCTGGTATAGGGAGAGAGTGGAATTACATCCTATGGGACCACAGGAAGCTCCAGTATAAATGGGGGTAGGAAGCAGGAAAAGGTCTTACAGGTATGGACTCTTGGGGAGTGATTAGGATCCCAGAAATGGGACTTCCCTGCTCTCTGGCAGACTTGGTGGTTTGCTTCTCTGCCCCCTCACAGACTTGGCCCACTCTTTGATCCTAGTACTTTATGCATGAGTGAAATTAGGGCCATTTGGAGGCCCCAGAGTGCCCATAAAACTTGATGACAGTTTGGTAATAGGGTCCCTGCTCTGTGCCAGCCCAGTGCAGGTGCTAGGAATTGGAGATGAAGACACCCCTTCCCTTCCCTTTGGAAGCCTAGTGAGAAAGAGCACCAGTCTGAAGGAGAAGGAGACTCAGGCGTGCATACTGGCCTGCATACTTCTGGCTTCCTGACCTGGGCCTCAGTTTTCTCCTCTATAAAATGAGGAGGAACATTGCCTACCTATGTATGGCTGTTGGGAGGATTGAGTGAGGCATGCAGAGCACTTGGCATAGACTGTGGCCCAGTAAATGGCATCTTTTATAATGGTTATCATCTGTTTAGTGAGTGACTCTCTCACCAGTCCAGGAGCTCCTCCAGGGCAGGATGAGGGTTTCTCACCTCTGTATCCTAGAGCACCTCATGCAGCAGCCCCTGCCTAGTGTTTGTGGGAGGAATGAATGGGAAGAAATAAAATGCTGGGAGCTCTCAGAGGTAGTTGGATTTTAGAGGTATGATGTTTACATCAAATAATGCTCTGTAGCATCAGACTTCTCCTCAGCTCTGCTTTTAGTACTGAGAGGGAGGAACACTCTCTCTCTCTTTTTTTTGAGATGGAGTTTTGCTCCTGTTGCCCAGGTTGGAGTGCAGTGGTACAATCTCAGCTTACTGCAACCTCCACCTCCCAGGTTCAAGTGATTCTTCCGCCTCAGCGGAATCCTAGTAGCTAGGATTACAGGCGCCCACCATCAAGTCTGGCTAATATTTTGTATTTTTAGTAGAGACATGGTTTCATCGTGTTGGCCAGGCTGGTCTCAAACTCCTGACCTCAGGTGATCTGCCTGCCTCAGCCTCCCAACGTGCAGGGATTACAGGCATGAGCCACTGCGCCTGACTGCGGGGGAACACTCTCTTTTACTTTGATTTGCCTGTGGAATTATATTTTATTATTTGTGAGACGGGGTCTTGCTATGTTGCCTACTCTGGACTTGAACTCCTAGCTTCAAACAGTCCTCCTGTCTTGGCCTCTGAAAGTGCTAGGATTACAGGTCTGAGCCACTGTGCCCAGCCTGCTTGTGAAATTTTAAATGAATAGTTAGCTTGCAGGTGAGATTTCGGTATAAACTGTGGAGTTCTACATGTAAGTGTGGAGAACCCTGATGTATCCCAAACTGCCCTCACAGAAACATCTCAAAATAATTCAGACTGGGCACAGTGGCTCATGCTATAATCCCAGCACTTTGAGAGGCCGAGGCAGGAGGATTGTTTCTGCCCGGAAGTTTGAGACCAGCCTGAGCAACACAGTGAGACCCCGTCTCTACAAAAAATAAATTAGTTGGCTATGGTGGCACATGCCTGTAGTCCCAGCTGCTCTAGGCTGAGGTATGAGGATTGCTTGAGCCCAGCAGGTTGAGGCTGCCAGTGAGCCATGATCATGCCACTGCACTCCAGCCTGAGCAACAGAGTGAAACCCTGTCTCCAAAATAAATAAATACATAATTAATAACCATTTAACTTCTCCTCACCAATTTATCTTTCAGACTATGTTTAACCAATAGCTCTGAAACCGAGCTCCTTTCTTTCTTCCCTTCTTTCATATTACACACATTTAAAAATAACCATTGTGGCCAGGCACAGTGGCTCATGCTGTAATCCCAGCACTTTGGGAGGCCGAAGCAGGCAGATCACTTGAGGCCAGGAGTTTGAGACCAGCCTGACCAGTATGGTGAAATGCCATCTCCACAAAAAATACAAAAATTAGCTGGGCGTAGTGCTGTACACCTGAAATCCCAGCTACTTGGGAGACTGAGGTATGAGAATCGTTTGAAGCCCCGAGGCGGAGGTTGTAGTAAGCCAAGATCACACCACTGCACTCCAGCCTGGACATCAGAGCGAGATGCTATTTAAAAAAAAAAAAAACAACAACAAAAAACTAGCCACTGTGCCACTTCATGAGTAAATGAAAAACAGAACTTTGCCCTCAAGCAGAACTGTTTCAAAGAAGAGAGACACATACACATGTAACAGTTAGAATGCTGTAAGGTAAAGAGAGAGACTCATTCATTTGAAAAATGTTTATTGGCCAGGCACGGTGGCTCACGCCTATAATCCTAGCACTTAGGGAGGCCAAGGTGGGCAGATCATCTGATGTCAAGAGTTGAAGACCAGCCTGGGCAACATGGTGAAACCCTGTCACTGCTCAAAATATGAAAACTAGCTGGGCATTGTTCTGGTTTCAAAACATGTCATTCTTCAATCACAAGAAACAGGAGAAAGTTGTGATGGTCCAGGTGAGATGGGATGAGGACTTAGACCTGCAGCTTCAGGCAGAATGAGAAGGCAAGGGTCAATGAGAGAAATAAGAAGAAATTAATAGGACACTGTTAAAAAAGAAAGAAAAGTGCTTATTGAGCACCTTTTATGACCAGGGATGGACCAAGTGCATGGAGTGCTCACAGAAGGGAGTGAAGTCAGGCAGGCCTTCACCTGTACCTGTTTTTCTCTCTTTATTGTTTCTCCATCTTCAGACTCATATCTAGACCTGTTTAATCCAACTCACTACTGGATTTTGCACTTGGATGCCCCACAGGCACTCAGCAGGCATAGCATACCTCAAAGTAAACTCTCTTCTTTTTTTTTTTTGAGACGGAGTTTCACTCTTGTTAACCAGGCTGGAGTGCAATGGCACGATCTCAGCTCACGGCAACCTCCGCCTCCTGGATTCAGGCAATTCTCCTGCCTCAGCCTCCCGAGTAGCTGCGATTACAGGCACGCGTCACCATGCCCAGCTAATTTTTTGTATTTTTAGTAGAGACAGGGTTTCTCCATGTTGGTCAGGCTGATCTCAAACTCCCAACCTCAGGGCCTCCCAAAGTGCTGCGATTACAGGCATGAGCCACCGTGCCTGGCCTCTTCTTTTTCTTAAAACTCAGCTTCTTGAGCCTTGTGTCTACCCACAATCCAAGCCAGATCCAAAGGGTTGGATGTCCCTTCAACCCCTCTATCCCCCACACTCCCTGACATCTAGTCAGTCTCACTGTCTTGTTAATTTCCTCTTGAGTATTTATCTCATTGACCCTTGCCTTCTCATTCTGCCTGAAGCTGCAGGTCTAAGTCCTCATCCCTTCTCACCTGGACCATCACTGCCTTCTCCTGTTTCCTGTGATTGAAGAACAGTATGTTTTGAAACCAAACATACCAGAGTTAAAACCCTGGTTGCCACCATTTTAGGAGCTGTATGAAACTGGGTAAAGCTGAACTGTAGTGGTTAGGATTGCAAACAAAGCGACAAAACTAGGGGAAAAATGAAATAATTATCATAAAAGTCAGATTATGGTAACCTGGGGGAAGTGGAGTTATCAGGAAGGGACACAGGTGGCTTCTGGAATGCTGGCAAGGTTCTTTTTACTTGACTGAGTAGTAGTAACACAGGTGTTCTTTTATATTTTTAATTAATTTTTATAATTTTTATAATTAATTGAGTTGTAAGTATATATTTTACTTTATAATTTGAGACCAGATTGGCAACATAATGAGACCTTTTCTATGAAAAGTAAGGAAAAAAAATTAGCCACATATGGTGGTGCACACCTGTAGTCCCAGCTACTCAGGATACTGAGGCAGGAGGATTGCTTGAGCCCAGGAGGTTGAGGCTGCAGTGAGCTATGATCATGCCACTACTCTCCAGCCTGGGCAACAGAGTGAGACCTCATCTCAGAAAAACAAAACAAAACAAAAGTATCTTTTACATTCAATGAGACTTTTCCATGAAAACTGTCAACCAGCACTCAGAGCACAGGAAGAGATCAGGAAACCTTGGTTACCAGACCTGATTGTTGTGGCCTTTCTTCCATGTGCCAAGCTATGCTTCTGAAAGAATAAGATACCATCCTTGTGCTCAAGGGAGTGCCACCCTGCTAAACCTTCCTGAAGGCATAGAGCTCACGAGTAGTAGAAGCAGGTTTCCTGAAGCCAAACCCTTTCCTCTAGTAAAGAAAGATTCATTTCACATGAGGGATTGCTCTTCTAAAACCAATGATAGTAAGTGATTAATGCTTCCCACAGACTGCGGACTCTTTGGCTGATCCATATCTGTCCCCATGCTTGCACAGAGCCTGGCACCTGCAGGCCTTGGAGAATGTGAGGAATAGAGGAGACCAGAGAATAACCCCCGTGTTTTCCCCCTCCCAGGCTGGCCAAGGAATAGGGCCTGGGCTCGTGGTCTCATAGAGCCTGGTCTGTTCTGGAAGAGCACCCAGTTGTTCCTTCTAGGTTGCCCAAGCCCATTGATGATGGGTGAGAGGGAGGAGGACAACGACACTGAAGAAGCTTGGCTGCAGCTGCGGCCCATGGAACCCTTGCCCTCCCAGTGCTGCGGCAGTGGCTGCTCACCCTGTGTGTTTGACCTCTATCACCAAGACCTGGCAAGGTGGGAGGCAGCCCGAGCCAGCAAGGACAGGAGCCTGCTGCATGGGCCAGAGTCACAGGTGAGGGGGACTGATTCTCGACATGAGCACCAGGGTGGCAGAATCTACTTGCCTTAGCCCTGAAAAGTGCACCTCTGGGAAGCCTTCCCTGACTGTATAGCAGAAGAAAAGAGTGAGCATAACAGAAGCAAACAGATCCAGGCTCAAAGCCCGGCCCTGGAACAAACTTATTAGCAGCTGTGTGGTTTGAGGCAAAGTTCCTTAGTCGACCTAAGCCTTAGTTGCCCCATCTGTAAAATGAGGCTAAACATTTGTGATACATAGCACAGAGCTTAACATTCATTTCACTTAATAAATATTTATTGAGTACCTGTTATATACCAGGCCTTGTGAGACAGTGAGGATTTGAGAGCAAGCATGACAGACACAGTCCTTGTCCTTATGGACCAAACTAGTTATAATATATAGGTAAATAAAGGATGTTAGGGCTGATATTTCTTTTCTAGTCCTTACTGACTTGTTCCTCCTTTTCTTAACTCTTCCAGGACTTGATAGTCTGACTAAGCAGTTTAGCCCTTTATTGTAATGTTTGGGGGGGGTTCACAGTTACAGATGTCAGAACACTGGACTTCACCCCCTATATTACACAGATTGGGAAACTGAGGACCCATTCCTTCTGATACTACACAGGTTTTGTTTGAATCTGTCCCTGTCTTGGTCTTTCACCTTTGAACAGTCTTCCCATTTTCCATGTCCTTCCTGACTAATGTGGAGCAGAAGGCATCTCCCATTTCTACTTCTCTCAATGCCGTATGGCATCATCATCACTTTTTTTTTCTTTTTTGTAGAGTTGGAGTCTCACTATGTTGCCAGAGCTGGTCTCAAACTCTTGGTCTCAAGTGATCCTCCCACCTTGGCCTCCCAAAGTGCTGGGATGTACAGACATGAGCCACCATGCCTGACCATTGTCACTTTTTGACCAACCATTCCCCATTGTTGGGGCCCAAACTGGACCAAAGCTTAGTCTTTTTTTTTTTTTTTTTTTTTTGAGACGGAATCTTGCTCTGTCGCCAGGCTGGAGTGCAGTGGCACAATCTCGGCTCACAGCAACCTCCGCCTCCTGGGTTCAAGTAATTCCCCTGCCTCAGCCTCAGACTGGTGCCACCACACCTGGCTAATTTTTTGTATTTTGTTCTTTTTTTTTTTTTTGGGTGTTTTGCTCTTGTTGCCCAGGCTGGAGTACAACAGCACGATCTCGGCTCACCGCAACCTCCGCCTCCCGGGCTCAAGCGATTCTCTTCCCTCAGCCTCCCAAGTAGCTGGGATTACAGGCATGCACCACCATGCCCGGCGCAGCTAATTTTGTATGTTTAGCAGAGACAGAGTTTCTCTATGTTGGTCAGGCTGGTCTCAAACTCCTGACTTCAGGTTATCCACCCATCTCAGCCTCCCAAAGTGCTGGGATTACAGATGTGAGCCATTGCACCTGGCCACACATGTTGTTCTTAAACTATAGATCATACATCTTGAACAAATAACAGTTGTTTTTCTTTTCTTTCTCTTGAGACAGAGTTTCTCTCTTGTTGCCCAGGCTGGAGTACAGTGGCACGATCTTGGTTCACTGCAACCTCCACCTCCCAGGTTCAAGTGATTCTCCTGCCTCAGCCTCCCAAGTAGCTGGGATTACAGGCATGCACTACTACACCTGGCTAATTTCGTATTTTTAGTAGAAATGGGGTTTCATCATGTTGGCCAGGCTGGTCTCAAACTCCCGACCTCAAGTGATCATCCTCCTCGGCCTCCCAAAGTGGTGTGATTACAGGCGTGAGCCACCATGCCTGGCCTTGCAGTTGTTTTTCTGAACCCCAAACAACACGACTTTATATTTATTATTATTATTTATTATTATTATTATTTTTGAGATGGAGACTCATTCCGTTGCCTAGGCTGGCGTGCAGTGGTGGGATCTCAGGTCACTGAAACCTCTGCCTCCCAAGTTCAAGCGATTCTCCTGCCTCAGCCTCCTGAGCACCTGAGATTACAGGCACCCACCACCACGCCTGGCTAATTTTTTTTGCATTTTTAGTAGAGATGGGGTTTCACCATGTTGGCCTCAAACTCCTAACCTCAAGTGATCTGCCTGCCTCAGCCTCCCGAAGTAGTGGGATTACTGGTGTGAGCCACTGCACCTGGCCACAGTTTTGCTTTTTATGAAGATAGAGATGGGGTCTTGCTGTATTGCCCAGGCTGGGCTCAACTCCTAGGCCTAAGCAAACCTCCCATCTTGGCCTCCCAAAGTGCTTGCTGAGATTACAGGCATGAATGACTTTATATTTAATGTCTCCTTGTATTTCTGCCACTGGAAGGTGGTGATGGGGACTAGAATCCTCTGGCCTCTGCCAGTGACTGGGGGATGTTCATGACAACCTCTGTTTCTCACTGCCCTCCATCTCCACATGGCTCACCCTTTTACTTCTTTCTGATCTCTGCTCAAATTTCATGTCTATTCCTAACTCAGGACTACCAGACACCATCTAGATGTACTCTTTTATGTGTGCCTTGTCCATCTTCTTGCTAAAATATTAGTTCTGGAAGAGAAGGGGCCTCTGTCTTGCTCACTGTTCTATCCGCAGCACCTTGAGTAGTTCCTGGCATTACAGTTGGCACTCATTAAATATTTGTTGAATGAATGAATGAATGTGTTTCTCTCAGATCTACTGAGTACCATATTCTGTATGCTGGGCACAAGGAGGTTGATAATAAAGGTGCCAGGGTATCAGTGCTGAAAAAACTCAGCTTACAGAAAGGGGATAAAGAACCGCAGGGTTACTCGGCCAGGCATGGTGCCTCATGCCTGTAATCCCAACACTTTGGGAGGCCGAGGCAGGTGGATCACCTAAGGCTTAGGAGTTCAAGACCAGCCTGGCCAACATGGCAAAACCCTGTCTCTACTACACATATAAAAATTAACCAGGCGTGGTGGTGTGCCCCTGTGTCCCAGCTACTTGGGAGGCTGAGGCTTAAGAATCACTTGAACCTGGGAGGTGGAGGTTGCAATGGGTTGAAATTGCACCACTGCCGTTCAGCCTGGGTGACAGAGCAACACTATGTCTCAAAAAAAAAAAAAAGAACCACAGGATTGTGATACAGTATGAACTGAGGCCCAGTTCTACCAGTTAATTGTGTGATGTTGGGCATGTCATTTTAGTGTGCTAAACCTTAGTTTTCTCATCTGAAAAATGAGGATGTTAATACTTTGTAAGTTGTTACGAGAATTTCATGGGATAAATATGTAAAGCACCTGGCACATGGTAGATGCTCAGTAGCTGTCATCACCTATTATAACATTGGAAATGAGGTGAGGGGTTCGAGACCAGCCTGGCCAACATGGTGAAACCCCGTCTGTACTAAAAATACAAAAATTAGCTGGGCGTGATGGCACACATCTATAATCCCGGCTACCCAGGAGGCTGAGGCACGAGAATCACTTGAACCTGGGAGGTGGAGGTGGCATTGAGGCAAGATCATGCCACTGTACTCCAGCCTGGGTGACAGAGTAAGACTCCATCTCAAAAAAAAAAAAAAAAAAAAAAATTTTGAAACAGATGTGGGAGAACATAGATGTCAGATGAGATTCAATTCTATAAAATAGCATATTCCAATTTATAGTTTTGTTTTTTAACTTTTAATGAAGCAATAATAAGGGGAAAAGATTTTACATTTCCTTGGTAACTTACATTTTTACATTGTATCTCATCTGACCTTCATGATAACCCTATAAAGTTTTCAGGGATGAGTGGCTCCTTTTTATAGACTGGGAAACTGAATCCCAGAGGATCAATTGATATGCTAAAGGCCCCACAGGGAGGCAGCAGCTGAGCTGGGGCTAAACCCAGTTCTCCCTACTTCCAGTCCAGTGCTCTTTTCAAAGCCCCCAGGCAGCTGTGCTAGAGGGTGCCCAGGTGCTCTGGATGATGGTGAGGTCATCCTGGATGGGGATGTGGGAAGGGGCATAGTGGAGGCAAGGCCTCGAATGCCAGGCCCGAGAATTTCTGTCAGTTCAGTGGTACTGTCAGCACTACCATGGGTAACTGGGGTTCCAGAGTTGGTGCTACAGGAACACATGGTGCCAGGCCCTAAGCTGGATATGAAGGGTCCCAGGAATTAATGGAGTATTTTATAGGAGAGAAAGATCTGTGAGTGACAGCATTCAGAGAAGGCTTCCTGGAGGACGTGCAGGTTGGGGTGGTATGTTAAAGGCAGTGGTCTGAGACTTAGACATGTGTTTGAATCTTTGTTTATAGTCTGACTGTGGACAAGCAAGCCAGCATGACTCAACTCAGGCCTCAATTTCCACATATGTAATACGCAGGTATTGAGTTAGATATTCTGAGGTCCCATCAACTTCTAAATTCTGCAAATCTGGATTTTAGTAGGTTTGAAGAATGGATAGGTCTTTTATACATTGGGTATGAATGTTCTGGATAGAGGGCACTGCTTGAGCAAATAAAGACTCAGAAATAGGAGTCAGCATGGTATTCTTGGGAGGACAGAGAAAAGTCTGGCATCAGTGCCATGGACAGACTGGGAGATAAAATGAGGCTTGAGGGTCATCCACAGGGCCCTTGAGTGTCCAGCTAAGGAAGGAGCCTGCACTTTACCCTGGAGCTGAGGGAGCCATGGAAGACTTAAGAGTAGGGTAAGCTCAAAGGAAAATGCTCTGCCATTCTTGGGCTTGATTTTGAAAGGGAAGTAAGGTGAGGCTAGTGTCCAGTTTACAGGAAACTTCCCAAGCTGAGACAGCCTCTGCTTGGGGACAGTGGGAAGGGTGTTGTGGATGCCTGTGTGTCTGTGGAGCCCTGGCCTCTAGCTGTTGGATCTCTTCTTGTTGCAGAGCTGTCCCTCCAAGCTGAACCCAAAGACCTTCGTGGCCTTCTGCATCAGTGCCATGGACAGACTCACTAAAGACACCTACCGTGTCCGGTTTGCTCTACCTGGGAACAGCCAGCTTGGCCTGCAGCCCGGCCAGCACCTCGTCCTACGGTACACTCAGGTAGTGGGAGGATCTGGTGGCTTTGAGCAGCTAGCGTACTCTCCCGTAAGCCTCCATTTGTCATCTTCGAGATAGATGTAGTGACACATGATTCAGAGGGTTCTTGGGATTGGACTAGATAATGCATTTTCATAATAAATAATAACAACACAATCACTTTAATAGCATTTACTATCCAAGTCACAGTCCTGTGTGCTTATATGTGTGAAATCATTTAACCCTTACAAAATCCTATGTGGTAGGCGCAGTTACTCCCCAGAGGACATTGAACTAAGAGGGGTCCAGAAACTTGCCCAAGGTCATACAGTTAGGAAATGTTGGAGCCAGGATTTGAAGGCAAGCAGTCTGGCCTTAGAGCTTGCGGTATGAACCCAATATGATTAGTACCAATTGGTAGAATTGAGAATAAAGGGCTTGCCCAGCACCACATAGCTAATAAGTCACAGACCCAGGATTTAAACCCAGACAGCCTGGCTCCTGAGTGACACTCTTAACCACTCCTCTGAGGTTCCTACTTCCCAGCCTACTTAGGCACCCTACTCCCACCCCAGTCCCCACTCCTGCCTGCCCAGAGACAAGACCCTTTGGGATATCCAGGTAGAGTTGTCTGCCAGGCTGTTGGCTCTGTGAGTCTGAGCCTCAGTGGAGAGATCTGAGCTGCAAGCATGGGTTTGGGAGTCGTTGGCACATACCTGAGTGGCATTTGGGAACATGTATGCATGGAAACAGGAAGGGACATAGGACCGAACCCTAGAAACACCGGCATCTAAGGTATTGGCAAGAGGAGGAGGAGCTAGCAAAGGAAACAAGGTGTGGCCAGAGTAGAAGGTGGAAACCAGAAGAGTACTTACTGCTGCTTAGACTCTGGCCACTTACCTCACATTGGTCCTTGGTGTTTGTGTCCAGCTCCTTCTGGCCTGTGGCCTGGCCAGCAGTCCTGGAAGTTCACTATCTCAGTGGGCAGGAGGGGCCACAGGGCAGGTCACAGCCCCAGGCATCCTTCCATTCATGAGCTAGAATGCCTAGAACTCCCTGCCTCCAGGCTGGCTCCCCTCCTTCTTCCTCTCTGTCCCTGCAGTGACATCCCTAACACACACATCTGACCATGTCACTCTTGGGTGCCACATGGAGACAATGTAGCACTGCAGAAAGTATCTGAGGTACCACATTGCCTCCATGATGATTTCCTAACCCAAGGCCCCAGCTTGCTTTCCCACCATGTTCTTCTCCCTCCGCCACCCCACCCCTGCCCTGGTCTCAGCCTCCTGCTCCATACCACGTTCCCACCATCCTTCCTGTCCCCACCAGCCCCTGTCAGTGGTTGGCCCATCCTGCAGCGCCTACCTCTAGGAGGTTTCCGAGGCTCCCAGAGGAGGCTGTGCACTCCCTCCGAAACATGCCAGTTTTACCTCTGTTGCAGCAGACGTCATAGTTCTCTGCAGCCAAGCCACGTTCTATGCTCTGTTCTTTATGTCCCCATTTGTTTTGTAAGCATTTATTAAATATTCCTGTCCAGGCCCTCCTGCTTTTGGTGCATTGAGACAGGGCCTTTTTAATCTTTGCATACCTCAGAGAAGAAATTTTGTACATGGTAGGATTTGAGAGAAGACTGCTTAGGAAAGCTCCTGGGAAGCTCTGAGGAACAGTGGTGAGGAGTCCAGCTCTGACTTCAGAGCTGTGGTTGAATTTGAACTGTGCAAGTGACTTCCCTTCTCTAAGCATTGGCTTCCTAATTTGGGTTGTTGTTTGAGTTAAATGAGATAATGCATGTGAAATGCTTGATGCATGTATGCATTTAATACACTGTGGCTGTTACTGTGACTCATGGTGGTTATCCTGACCCTGTTGTTGGTAACATAAAGGATTCATGCATGAGATAGGGCTTTAGACTAGGGCCCCTTTGAGGATCCTTCCAGTCCCAATGCTTCTTCCAGGTGCTAGTAAGTGTTTAATAAATGTTAGCAGTTGTTTTTATCTTTATCATTCTGTGGCAGAGAAGAGGTCAGGAAAAATGTTAGTCATATCCCCAAAACAACTTACATCCTCGGTGCACTTTTGAAGCACTCTCCCATCTGTAGTCCCAGAGGAGCCACCCAGCTGGAATGCAGATAGCTGTCCACATTTTACAGAAGGGGCCATGAGGAATCAGATGATCTACTGGGATCTCACAGCCAGCATGTGGCAGTGGATGAGCTCAGTATTCTTTTTTTCCCTCTTGCACCTTGCCTGCCTCTCAGTGAGGACCTTTACTTTGGCCATTCTGGCAGAGGAGGCGCCTCATAAGGATTTGCGGTTCTTCGTCTGTTTGTCTGAGACAGAGTCTTGCTCTGTTGCCCAGGCTGGAGTGCAGTGGCATGATCTTGGCTCACTGCAACCTCCACCTTCCAGGTTCAAATGATTCTTGTGCCTCAGCCTCCCAAGTAGCTGAGACTACAGGCGTGAGCCACCACACCTGGCTAAATTTTTGTTAGCAGAGATGGGTTTCACCATGTTGGCCAGGCTGGTCTCAAACTCCTGACCTCAAGTGATTTGCCTGCCTCAGCCTCCCCAAGTGTTGGGATTACAGGCATGAGCCACCGTGCCTGGCCTCATAAGGGTTTGTTGAATGACTGGCTGACTGATTGCATGCTTCTCTTTCCTAGAGGGATAGTAGATGACTTAGAAATTCAGAGAGCCTATACGCCTATCAGCCCTGCCAACGCAGAAGGATACTTTGAAGTGTTAATTAAGGTAAGTTGACCCTTGAGGATGCTCTAAGATGCCATGGACCTGTGCCTCCTTTGCCAAGTTGGTCATGAGGGGGAAGTTCCTACCAATGTGGGAAAAACCAGGGTTCACAGGAAAGGAGGCTGACTTGAGGGAGGAGCAGGGACAGGTGAAGGCCTTTTTCCATCTGCTTTCCTGGGGAAGGGACTGCTGCTAGACTACCAACAGAGGTCTATTCCAGTATACCCCTGAAAGATTTTACTAAAAGGTGGCTCAGACTGAGAAGGGGAAGAAGGGAAAGCTGGTCCGCTCACTTTTCTGCCATCCATGGAGAGTGAGTACCAAGCTGGGCAGGGAAGGGGAGCCAAGGTCCCCCATACCCACTGTGTGCTGAGCACGGGGTTCCAGAGGTAAGTCAGGCACAGTGCCTGCCCTCAGGATACCTGCCCAGGACAAGCAACCAGATTAGGATGATACAGCGTGACAGATTTCCTGACATAAAGAGGCCCAGCCCACTCAGCAGCTGGGGTGCAGGGGAGGCAGGCTGGGCTTCCTTGGAGAAGCCATGTGTCTAAAGAGTGGAGAGCTAGAGGGAAAATGTAGGAAGGAAACTCAGTGCTGGGAACAACATGGACAAAGGCAATGGGGAAGTAAGTTCTTTTTCCTGGAACGGAAGGGAGGTGTGCTGAGGGAACAGAATACAAGCTGAGAGGATTAGTCAAGAGGTGGGACATGGAGGAGTTGGGGACAGGACTAACCTGACATCACCTCTCAGGAGGAGGTGGGCAGAACCACGGGCATTTGAGTTGGACCTTGAAGAAGGATTACAAATTGGCAGTGACTGTAAATGGCATTCTAGGCTGAAGGGATGGTTAACCAAAAGTTGAGAGGAGTGAAATAGAACAAGTCTTCTGGGAACTACCCAGCCTGAGAGACAGGAGGAGAGGGTGCTTGTGGGGCAGGTGGGGTGGATGGAGGAGTTGGCAGAGATGAGATGAACAAAGTAGACTGAATACAAAACACCCTGGAGACCCAAGGAATAGGCAACAAATATGTAAGAAGTTGTGGAGGCTCAGTTACATGGAAAGAATAATTAGGTTAAGCTACATGAAACTGCTGCTATTCTAACTTTTTTGACTTAAAGAAACATCAGCTTCATATCGGTCAACCTAATACAGCTCTAGATCATCATTTCCCAAATGGAATCATATTACTTATATGTAAGAATAGTGTTTACATCTTTAATCTACCTTAAAAGACATGAATTATTATCTGTATTTCATTGATAAGCAAACTGAGTCCCCCGGAGGCCCCATGGCCCCACAGCTAGTAAGAAATGCCGCCAGTGCATGAGTCCTGCACCCTGACCCCAAGACCTTAGCACTGTCTCCAGCTCCTGCCTTCCTGCCTGCCTTCTGAGCCTGAGTGTTTATTCCCTCACACATAAGCTTGGATGGGATCCCTTCACGCAACTGTTTGTCTGGGAGATTCCACAAATCCTCTCCAAATGGCCAGCTTCCCCAAGCTGCTTGTCAGGGTGTGTTTCTATGGAAAGCATAAGCCTGGAGACAGTTCTTCAGGGCAGCTGGATCTCTCCCAGCTGCAAGGCTGATTTTGTCCTTCCTTTACCAGAAAGCCTCTCTTTAGAGAGTTGCTTAATTATCTCTAAGCCACTGGCTAGGAGGAGCCAGAAATGTCTTTGCAAATTGGGAAGGCAGGCAGGGCTTATTGTTTGACCCTCCCATGCAGAAGGGAAGGAGGACCTCTCATCTCTCAGGCACCTTCTGGGCATCAGGCACTGCCTCTGGCTCTTTATTCTAATTATCTTATTTCAACCTTATAATCACCCTGCAGAGTAGATCATATTGTTCCCATTTTACAGACGAAGAAACTGAAGCTCAGAAGATGACATCATTTGTCCCAAGGCCCCTGGGGTAATATAAGGACAAAACTTCAGTGTCAGTTCTGTTTAACAAGTATGTGTTGAACATTTACTCTGTACCAGGCTCTGTGTGAGTATGTATTAGTCGCTTTTTACACTGCTGATAAAGACATACCTGAGACTGGGCAATTTACCAAAGAAAGAGGTTTCATGGACTCACAGTTCCACATGGCTGGGGAGGCCTCACAATCATGGTGGAAGGCAAAAGGCATATCTCACCTGGTGGCAGACAAGAGAAAAGAGCTTGTGCAGGGAAACTCTTCTTTATAAAACCATCAGATCTCATGAGACTTATTCACTATCATGAGAACAGTATGGGGAAGACCGGCCCCAATGGTTCAGTTACCTCCCACTGGGTCCCTCCCACAACACATGGAAATTCAAGATGAGATTTGAATGGGGATATAGCCAAGCCATGTCAGAGTACTAAAGACAACATAGAAGAATCCTTCCCTTCTCCTTGGGTGCTGTCTATGTATGCCATATGGCCTCTAAGGCCACAGCTGGGGTCATGCCTCCCCATAGACTGGGGCCAGAAAACAAAGTTTTCATGGAGACAGCCTCCAGCAAGGCAGGAGAAAAACCACACCTTTCCTTTAGACCCCTTCCAGTTGAGCCAGGGACTTCCCTTGCCTTGTGCAGGTGGTGCCCAAGGAAGGCAGGGATGATATTGGAGATGGTTGTGGGTGCTTAAAAACAGGTCTGGGGACCAAAGCCCTGTCTCTCCATTAAGCCTGGCTATAATCTTACTCCAAACACCATTCCAGTCCTGTCTCCCAGTGCTTTGCCCTCACCCTCACCCTACCATGTTCACTTGCTGTTCCCAAAACATGATCCAGGCTGTCCTACACCTGACCATACTACACCTGATGTCCAGAGTCCTCTCTGCACCCCTGCTCCCATCCCCAGTGAATTCCATCTTGCCCATATTTCAAGGTCCAACTCAAATGCTTCCTCCTCCAGGAAGCCGTCCTTGATTCCATCTATGGAAGTGACTGTACCCTTCTCAGGTTTATTCCTAGTTTATTTTTCTCATGGGTATTAGATGGTTGGTCTCTACCTTGTATATGTCTGAGACTTAGGTTCCTTCTAGATTGTGAGCTCCTTAAGGGGAGAGCCTGAATCTGGATTGATTGATTCATTCATTCATTCAGATATTTATTAAGTTATTTCCATGGTTCAGGCACTGGCTGCTTTCATGAAGCTTAAGATCTAGCTGTCTTGCCTGCGTCCTCAACATGGTGCCTGGCACAGAGTGGGCAGTGATCCAGGAAATATAGTCTCCTGTCCCCATGGAGAATTCACTCCTATAACCTTCATTTTTCATCCAGCCAGGAGATGGTGTAGAATAATGCAGAGATTGCAGATGGGTGGCCTGCAAAGTGAATCTAGCTCACAAATGTATTTGGTATTGGCCAGTATAGAGTTTTAAAATTTTAAATTAATTGCAGACATTTCAGAAATGGGAGATTTTAAATAAAAATATGGATTTCCTGCTGCTTTTGAAAATTCAATACATCTGGCCAATTAGGCCCCGAAAACTATGGACTGAAACCTGCAAAGTGGCTTCCCTCCTTAGAAGGAGCATTCGCTCACCAATTTATCATAGTCGCCATCACTCCCTATTGGCTCCCTGACACTGAGACTGTGTGTTAATTGCCATTAATCATCACCCAGCTATTCACTCATTTATGGTACCTGCATGGTCCCTGTGGGAATTCGGGTTTGGGACCTCTATGCTGAAGGCTTTAGGTCCTATGGATTCTCATCCCAGCCTCCTGTCTACCTTCTGGGTAAGCATCTGAAAACTGGGAATGGCTGTACCAACTTTCTAGGATGAAGAGGACGATTAAATGAGAATAACACGTATGAAGCACTTAGCGTACAGAATGGGCTCGACATTAATGGCTAATCTGGTTTGTGTTGACAGCATGTACTTGTCCTACTGACGTCTCCCTGTCTTTGCTTCCAGTGCTACCAGATGGGGCTGATGTCTCGGTATGTTGAGTCCTGGAGAGCAGGAGCCATAGCTTTCTGGCGAGGACCTTTCGGAGATTTCTTCTATAAACCAAACCAGGTCAGTGCCAGCACCTTAAATCTTCTAGAGACCCCCGTTGACTGTGGTTTTCATGTTGCAGCCCACAGTATCTCACTATGCTATTATCCCTGAGCTCAAACCCAATCCCAAGTGTATCCTGGGGGTTGGACATGGGAAGAGATGGAATAGACACTTATAAATGAAACTGCCTGGCCAGCTTCAAAGCTACCCAGGGTGGCCACTGCTTAGAACGTCAGACTCACATACTTGGCGTTTAGGAGCTCTCTACCTCAGACGCCTTTCCAGTTTCGCAGTGCAGTCACATGACTAAATATACCCCATGGCTTCCTGTTTGGGAGCCCACTACTTCCCAGCTCCGATGACTCTTCCCCCGTCATCCTGGCATGTTCAAACCCTTCCCTAACTTTCCCAGGAAGAATTTGCAATTCCTCATCCGTTGGTGCATATCTAGAAAGCATTTTGACAGTATGTACCAAGAGTCTTCCGAATCTTCAAATCCTTTGCCCCATTAATTCCACTTCTGAATGACTGTCTTATGGAATGAATCAAAATGCTGGCTCTTTGGCGTTTGCTCATTGCATCTTTATTTATAATAGCCGAAAATTGGAAACAACTGAATATCCAACAACAGGGGAACAGTTAAATACACTGGGTTATAGGTACTTGATAAAGTAATATCCTGGATTTTAAGATTATGTTTATAAATGATGTTATACTTACACTGTAAGATCAAGTGACAAATGCTAGGTACAAAACTGAATATACAGGAGGTTGGGAAACTAAGTTAAAATGCACAAACTATGAAAATAAAATGCGGGCCGGGTGCAGTGGCTCACGCCTGTAATCCCAGCACTTTGGGAGGCCGAGGCGGGTGGATCACGAGGTCAAGAGATCGAGACCATCCTGGTCAACATGGCGAAACCCCGTCTCTACTGAAACTACAAAAAATTAGCTGAGCATGGTGCGCGTGCCTGTAATCCCAGCTACTCCGGAGGCTGAGGCAGGAGAATTGCCTGAACCCAGGAGGCAGAGGTTGCGGTGAGCCGAGATTGCGCCATTGCACTCCAGCCTAGGTAACAAGAGCGAAACTCCATCTCAAAAAAAAAAAAGAAAAGAAAATGCAATGAAATGTTAGCAACTCTGGGTGGTGGAATTATGGGTGATTTTTATTTTCTTCATTATACTTTCTAAATCATTTGCAGTGAACACCTATTACCTTTATAATTAGGAAAACAAAGCAAAATGAAAACAAATGGAAAATAATGAATCATGCCTTCCTCTCCATTCTTTTTGTTTAATTTTAAAATAGTTTTTATTGGCTGGGTGCAGTGGCTCACGCCTGTAATCCCAGTACTTTGGGAGGCCGAGGAGGGTGGATCACCTGAGGTCAGGAGTTTGAGACCAGCCTGGCCAACATGGCAAAACCCCATCTCTACTAAAAATACAAAAAATATTAGCCAAGCATGGTGGCACAAGCCTGTAATCCCAGCCACTTGGGAGGCCAAGGTGTGAGAATTGCTTGAACACAGGAGGCAGAGGTTTCCTCTTGCCACTGCATTCCAGCCTGGGCAGCAGAGAGAAACTCTTTCAAAAAAAAAAAAAAAAAAGAAAGAAACAGAAAAATAGCTTTTATTGTTTTTTCCCTTTTATAAATGCAGTACATGTTCATTACCCAAAAATCAGCAGATGGAAAGACACAAAAAGAAGAAAATAAAACACACAGGCAATCTACCCAGACACACCCATCTTACTTGGTGTATATCCTTCCAAATCCTCTTCCACATGAGTATATGTACAAATGCACACTGCATGCACATGTGTAATATGTATGTATAATAATATCAAACACTTGTAGCACCTCATGCGTGCCAGGCTCGGACCTTAGCACTTGCTATATAGTGACTTACATAATCTTCACAGCAGCACTTAGGTGCTACAACTCCCATTCTACAGACATGTGCTATGCATATGTTTTTTTTTTCTTTTTTAAAAAAATTCTTTAATTTCTATATCTTCCCATAAACCTATGCATATGTTAATACTCTTTCATGGTATTCTCCTAGTACTAACCATGCTTAGCCTTGCATCCCCCAGGTCCTTGAGAGCAGGGAATAGACTGTGTTTCCTCCTGGCCTAGAGTGAGTAACAATTGAACGTTGTCTTGACCACCTTTTCTGGTGGAGCCTTCCTATGCCTTGTGGCTTCTCCTTCACATGCATAGAACACTTGAAAGGCCCTACATTTATTTCCCGCCTTCCTGCCTTCCTGCTTTCCCTCCCTCCTTGTTGCCCAGGCTGGAGTGCTGTCATAGCTTACTGCAGTTCCACCTACTGGGCTCAAGCAATCCTCCTGCCTCAGCCTCCCGAGTAGCTGGGACTACATGTACATCACCATGCCCATCTAAGTTTTGTATTTTTTGTAGAGACAGGATTTTGCCAGGTTGTCCAGGCTGGTCTCAAACTTCTTGGCTCAAGTGATCCTCACCTCAGCCTCCCAAAGTATTGGGATTACAGGCATGAGGCACCATGTCCAGCTCCTGCACCTCTTATCTAGGGAGGTTGTAGGGCCTGATGGTGAGAAAAAAGAAATGGTGTCTCACACCTTATATGCATTCACTGAAATTTCAGTAAGCCTTGGTTTCACCCCGCAATGACGTCTGGGAAGCTCCTGCCCTCTTCAGGGCCCTGTTTTACTACTCTGCAGTCATCTTCATTACAGAGGGATATTATAGCAGCCCTGTGGACTGATATATTAGCATCTGTCTGTGCATTCATTCAACAAACAGACACAAGCGTCCACCCAGGGCCAGGCCTGTGCTGGACTCTGGGGACCCAGAGATGGGTCAGATAAGGCCCCTGTCCTCCAGAAGCTCATAGTCTGCTGAGGGAGTCAGATACACAGACAGATGACAGCAGCACAGTGTGGCCAGTGTGCTGTGGAGGGACTCAGAGGGAGCTGTCGAAACAAAGAAAGGACCCTCCCCTGCCCCGGATCAGGGAAAGCCTCCCGGAGGATAGCCCAAGCTGGGATGGGAGGAGGAGCGGTAGCTGCCAGGCAGGAGTCTCCACAGCTTAGGGAAGGGGAGGAATCTAACTGGATCTGCACCAGGCATTTTTCTTTTTTGTTTGTTTTGTTTTGTTTGAGACAGAGTCTCACTCTGTTGCCCAGCTGCAGTGCAGTGGCATGATCATGGCACACTATAGCTCCAACCTTCTGGGCTCAAGCGATCCTCCTGTCTCAGCCTTGAGTAGCTGATACTACAGGCATGAGCCACCAAACCCAGCCAACGTTTCTTCATCTTATTTAATATTTGTAATAGTTCTGAGATAGGTGTTATTATGGGAAAGTGCTTTTCTTTTTTTACCACTGAGGACACTGAGGCTCAGATTGGTGAAAGAGCTTGCCCAGATCACATGGTTGTGGATTTATACCCAGAGGCCTAATCTCTAGAATGAGGGAGGTGAATACTCCTCTTTAAGGTCTGTGCCTTAAAGATACTTAAAGCATTGCTCAGGTACTAACCTTTAAGGCACTGACCTTAAAGAGGTCACCCCTCTTTAAGAGGACTAGAGCCAAGAAATAAATTCAGTGAGGAGGAGTTGATGGAACTGGGACCTCTTGAGGTGGGAACTCACCTTTTTTTTTTTTTTTTTTTTTTTGAGTTGGAGTCTCTCTCTGTCACCCAGGCTGGAGTGCAGTGGCATGATCTTGGCTCACTGCAACCTCCACCTCCCAGGTTGAAGTGATTCTCCTGCCTTAGCCTCCTGAGTAGGTGGAACTACAGGCATGCACCACCACGCTCGGCTAAATTTTGTATTTTTAGTAGACATGGGGTTTTGCTGTGTTGGTCTCGAACTCCTGACCTTAAGTAATCCACCTGCCTCAGCCTCCCAAAGTGCTGGGATTACAGGCGTGAGCTACCACACCCAGCTGGGAATTCACCTTTTTCAGGTGACTCTTTTGTGCCAGTGCCGTGCTACATGCTTATATATATTTTTTCATTTAGCCTGGAGATGAGCAAGCTCAGAGGTCCAAGGTGGGCCCTTGAGATCTCTGCAGAGGTACCCTGGGGCAGAGGAAGCATTCCAGGGCTGGAATGGTGTTGGGAGTGGCCAAGGCTTTGATGGGAACCGATTTCAGTTCAATGTAAGTTATGAAGACCTCTCTGGCAAAGAACTTGGCCTATAGTAGAGCAAACTGCCTTGGGAAGTAATTTGCTCCCTGTCAGCAGAAGTGTGTAAGCAGAGAGTCCTTGTGGAGATGCTTTAGTAGGCAACTAGGCCACTTACAGGAATGGCTATAATATTATGCTCCCTTTCAGCCCCCATATCCTATCATCTCTGTTACTCAAACCTCACATGCCTTTCACAAGTAAAGTTGGCTTTCTGGAGGAGGTAGAGAGGGGACATAGGTGGTTGGACACCCAGGAAGGGCACTGCCGTCCAGTTGAAGGAAGCACGAGGAAAAACCCCGTAGTAGAGGGGACAGGGTGGGACTCCCCCAATCCACCTGTCATACATACCTGTTCTATTTCCCAGTATGGTGAGCTCCTGATGCTGGCTGCAGGCACGGGCCTGGCCCCCATGGTGCCCATCCTGCAGAGCATCACAGACAATGAGGATGATGAGACTTTTGTCACTCTGGTTGGTTGCTTCAAGACCTTTGAGAGCATCTACTTGAAAACCTTCCTCCAAGAGCAGGCCCGTTTCTGGAACGTCCGTACCTTCTTTGTACTTAGCCAGGTGAGCCCAGGATGGTGACTTCCTTTCTTGATTGAGACTCTGCAGTCCCTTTGCACCTGTCCTGAGGACGAGCTGTAGCCTCTTTGGCAATAGACAGTGTAATCATAATCCCTGCCACTGGTGGAGCACCTACCTGTACGTGGCACAGAAGGCAGGTATTCTCATGTTCATTATACAGATGAGGAGATGCACGCTCTGGGAGTGAAGCTGTCCACAGGCTCACGCTGCTGGACAGAGTTGAGGCCAGGATTTGAGCCCAGGGCTGTCTGGTTGCCAAACTCTGGCTCTCACCCCATGCATTCCTGCCTCCTATTGCCCTCTGGCATCATCAGTGACATGGGCAGGGGCCTGGCTGTGGGGGCTGGGGCAGGCTGCAGACTTCCCTCCAGCTGAGTGATGTTCCTTGAGGCAGGGACCACATGTCTGCCTCAGCACTCTCTCTTGAGTTCTTAGCATAATGCCAGACACAGAACAGGGACTCCATCAGTGACTGCTGGAGTAAACTGATCTGAATTCCCTGAGCTTGCTAGTATCCTCCCACCTTAGCCTGTCCCTCCATAGGAGGACCCCGCCTTAGCTGGCAGTGACTCTCCCTGTTGACCCCTTCTCCATCTGACTCCATATCCCCTCTGTTCACGCAGGTGAACCTTCTAGGGCCACCCCCATAGGCCAGAGCACAGGCCTCATCTTTGCCCCTCATCTCAAGCCAGGCCCTCAGCTACCTTTGGTGGCCTGCCTTTCCCTGTTTGACAGCTTAACTTTTCCCTCCTGTCCCCCCTGGGTTGGGGCTCCTGCTGGGCCCCCTGCATTCCGTGGTGCTCAGGGTCAGCCTTCTTGCCTGATCCTGTGGAGTGCCTTCTCATCTGGTCCCCCTATGAGACAGCTTTATATAGTCCCTGAACACTTATTTGATCCTCAATATTGTGGCTGGGTGTGGGGGATAAGGAAATTGGATTTCCTGTCCCAATATCAGGGTCCCTAGGCTCCCCAGGGGCTGTGGTCTGCGGGCCTGTCCATGGGGCAGAATGCTCAGTGGCATGACATTGAGAGCATGGTGAACATTCATGGCAGCAGGAAAGTGCCCAAGGGAGGGGAATGGAGCCAAAGGCTAACATGCAGCCTGAAGGGTGGGCACGCGGGATGGGCTACCATTGCCCAGCAGCACAGGCAGCCTGCCTGTGAACCTGGGCAAGGATACCTGGATGAGGGCAGGAAGGCAGGCACCTGGCAGAGAGTCCCCAAGCTGCTGGCCAGTCTTCCTTTCCCTCCTCTGTTGCCTGAGTACATGCCAGGTATCAGAGACACAACAGTGAAGGTGACCCACTCCCAGCCCCCCGGCTGTCCACCTGTCTATGGGTGACAGCCACAGAGATGGCTGAAAAGGACTCTCCTTCATTCAGCACATTCTCTATACCCAGCACCATTCTAAGCACTTTATTAACTCATTTAATCTCCACCACAATCTTAGGAGGCTTATATGCCCATCATGCTCCTTGTACAGATGTGGAAACCGAGGCACAGAATGGTTAAGAACCTTGCCCAGGGTAACACAGCTGGTTAGTGGAGAGTGGAGTATGAACCCAGGAGGTCCTGCTCAAAGGCTGCGCTCCTCGGAATAAAGCAGCACAGCACAGGTGCTGTGAGGGTATTCAGGATGCCAGCAGTGGGCAAGAGAGGCCAAGCAGGGTCAGGAGGGCTTTACCAAGTATGTGGCATTTACATTAAAGTTCACTAGCAATAGAAGATCTTCAGCTCCCAGCTAGGCCAGGGCGGTGGTAGTGGCCTGGGGGTTGGGTAGGCAAGTAGGCTGGCCATCAGTGGTGAAGGGGTGACTGGTGGCTCCTGCTTCTCCACAGTCTCTTGACTCAGCGTGCTCCCTCCCCTGCCTGGGCCACAGCTGCAGCATTCCAAGCCTTCCCATCCTAGCCACTCCATGCCAATTTATCCTGCAGTGCTGAGGGCAGATCTGACCATAACACCACCCCATTTCTAGCCCTTCCTTGGCTCCCTACTGCTCACAGGATGAGGTCTAAGCCCAGGAACTGCCACCCTCTGTGGCCTCATCTCCTAGCCCACCTTCCCTGTAAGCTGTGGCCTGATGTCACTGGTCTGCCCATGGTTGTAAATGTGCTGTGCTTTTCTGGCTGCTGGGCCTTTGCTCACACCATTCCCCTTGCCAGGAGTGCTCCCCCTTCCTCATCTCACACCTCTGTAGCTCTCACATTCCTGTTGAGGTATAAGTGCATTCTGGAAGCTTTCCTAGAGCTCCCAGGGTGGCCTTGGTGTTTCTGCTGCCACTGCCCTGGCTCTCCTTCACAGCACCCACCTGCTGCATCATCACTGTTTGTGGGGTCCCCTACCCATCTCAGCAGCAGCCAGGCCCAGGGCATCTCAGGGTGCATGGTGGGATGGGCTGTGCTGAACCTAAGTGGTCTGAGGAAATTGAGCAGTGGAAAGGGAAAGTGAGGCCAGTGGGCCCCAAGGCCTCATCTGGTGGGTCAGACCATAGCGAGATCATGGGAAATGCCAGATCATCAGAGAGGATACATCCCTCATTAGCACAGGCTCTGTGATATAGGACTCCAGGGACCCTGTTTATTTTGTTTTGTTGTGTTGTGTTTTGAGACAGGGTCTCACTGTGTTGCCCAGGCTGAAATGTAGTGGTGCAATCACAACTCACTGAAGCCTCAACCTCTCTGGGCTTAGATGATCCTCCTACCTCAGCCTCCCAAGCAACTGGGACTACAGGCATGTTCCACCATCCCTAGCTAATTTTCATATTTTTCATAGAGATCAGCTTTTGTCACATTGCCCAGGCTGGTCTTGAACTCCTGGGCTCAAGCGATCCTCCCACCTCAGCCTCCCAAAGTGCTGGGATTACAGGCATGAGCCACTGCACCTACCTCCAGGGCTCTTTGAGTATGCCTCAGAATACAGGCCACTCCTCACTGGCCTCTGCCAGGGCTTACACCAGCACTGCGGCTCTCTGGACAGTGGCTTTCCATTGCAGATACTCTCCTCACAGTCATGATCCTGAGAGGCCACAGTCACTCAGCCAGGAAAGTGGCAGTGCAGCTCTACCCCCGACCCATCCTGTCTTTGTGCCTAGCCCCAGGAACTAGCAACTTGCCCTCATAGGATCTGCAGAATGATAGCTCTGTTCTGGATTTTTTTTCTTTGTGGGCTGGTTACATAGTTTCTTCATTTAAATTCTTCAGACTATATATATAGTTGTTCCTAGGTATCCATGGGGGCTTGATTCCAGGACCCCCTGCAGATACCAAAATCTGAGGATACTCAAGTACTTGATATAAAATGGTGTGGTATTTGCATATAACCTATGCACATCCTCCCACGTGCCTTAAATCATCTCTAAATTATAATACCTAATATGTAAAGTAAGTGGCTGTTATACTATGTTATTTTTTATTTGTGTTTTCATTACTATATTGTTATTTTTTAATGTTTTTCTAAAAATATTTTCAATCCACAAGGTTGAATCCACAAATGTGGAACCTGTGGATACAGCGGGCTAGCTGTATACTAGCCACTGTTCAGAGAGCCGCAGTGCTGGTGTAATTAATGCCCACTGTATACTTAATGCTTTGTACACTTTTCTACACGTATGTTGTATTCCAATAAAATGTTCATTTAAATACATTTTCTTCAAGTCACCTGGGAGTGGAGCCTTCATTTTGTGACCCTGAGGAGGAAAGCCACAGCTGAGGCTAGAAGGGCAGAGAGAAGGATCCTGGGTCCCTGGGGGCACAGTCCAGCCTTGGAATGCAAGCTTAGCCTTTCTGGATGAAGGCACTGTGACCTGGGATCTGTGTTGTATGCAGCCAGGACCCTTGTCTGTTTTGAGCAGCTGCCATATCCCCAGTGGCTAGCTCAGTGCCTGGCACAGAGTAAGCACTTGGTAAATATCTGCTAAATGAATACGTTCATTGAAACCTTAAAACAAATGAGCAAAAGTTATGCTCCGAGGGTGATGATGATGGCTAATGGTGGAAAGATTCTGGGAAACCCACAGTCAGGGGAGAAAACATTCCTCCACAGTGGCAGGTGCAATGGCTGCTGGGAGGCAATGAGAAATGGCAGGACTTGAGTTCTAGTCCTGCTGCTGTCCCCACCTCATTGTGTGCCCTGGGGAAGTTCCTCTTCCCTGGGCCTCTCTTGTCATGGGAGGGTGATAGCCTTCCCACAGGCTTGTTTTGCGGGTGAGGAAGTGCCTGGCCCGTGGTGGAGCTGGATACAGGTTGGCTTCCTACCCTTTCTGCCTCAGTTTCCTCATTTTTCAGAAACGAGCTGGCTGTGTGAACACTAAGGACCCCTTGCTCCCTCGTAGTCACCCATACCTTTCTTGTCATCCCAGGAGAGCTCCCCAGAGCAGCTTCCCTGGAGTTACCAAGAGAAGACCCGCTTTGGCCACCTGGGCCAGGACCTGATTAAAGAGCTGGTCAGCTGCTGTCGGAGAAAGCCATTCGCACTGGTCTGTGGCTCGGCTGAGTTCACCAAGGACATAGCCAGGTGCTTACTGTGTGCAGGCCTCACTGAGGACTCCTACTTCCTCTTCTAGCCCTGGCCTGCCTTCCAAAGCCCAGGCCAGGGGCCTGCTACTGGGACCCAGGAAGGAGCACAGACAGAAATCAGAACACATGGAGTCCAGGCCTTGTCCTGCTGCTCATTTGCCAGGTGTCCTTGGGCAAGTGTGTTTACTGCCCCTTGAGATTAATAACTCCTCCTGGCCTCCTACTATGTGGCGGAAAGACAGACTGTAGGCATCCAGAGGAGGTGAGCAGCCAGCCTGGGAGTCAGGGAGGACTCCTCAGAGGAAGCCAAGTCCAGGCTGAGCCCCAGGAGGAGTAGGAGTTGGGCAGGGGAAGAGTCAGGAGGAGCTTCGCTGGCCCTTCTGATTAGAGGATCTCTTGGGGGCTACAGCTGTGGCCTCAGCACCATCTCAGATTAGGGGCTCCTGGGTGTGTAGGGAAGGACACAGGAGAGGCCAAGAGCTCTTTGGAGGAGGACCCTACCTTTACTCCAGTGCCATGAGCCTGACACAAAAAGGTCTTGGGTTCTATGACTTGACCATGTCCTGAGAGCAAGATGGGGCCCTGGACTGTCTTTGTATTGACCCCAAACCTTTCCTGCTGTGAACAGCTTCATTCTCACTCCCCTTTCCTGGCTCAAGAACCTCGCCTAGCAAAAGAAGAGGCTCGGGAAGGAAATGCCCCTCCCTCCTGCAGGCAGCATCTCAGCCTGTGCCTTCAGCTCGGTGCCCTAGCGACTGTTGCTATGGAGATCTAAAGATAGAGCAGGAGTCAGGAGACCTGGGTCCCTCTCCCAGTTCTGCCCACTGAGTGGCTACTGATTCCAGTCACCCACACCAGGAGCCCAGTGCCCCTGGGCAACGCACTGCAGCTAATGAATTCTGCTTTTCACAGCTTGGGCTCCGGCATGCTGCACCAGCTCGGGCTGGCTACAGGCAGTCCCAGAATTGGAATACTAAGCCATGGAATCTTAGAGTTAGACTTCTATAGTCATAGAAGTACACTCCTCACCATATCAAAGCTGAAAGTTCAGGACTCCAAGGAACATAGTGTGACTGACTTATTGTGTACATGGAGAAACTGAAGCCCAATGAGGCTAAATGACTTTCCAAGGGTAAAACAGTCCATGGCAGAGCCAAAACTACAAGCCTCCTAGTTTCAACCTCATGTATGAGTTCTGCACCAGTGGTTTTCAAACTGTGCTCCGAAGAAAATGAGCGCTCTTTGCATAGCAGCAGTGAAAGGACAGCTCCAGATGGATCCCCAGACCCCTTCAACCAGAGCAGTTCTTTTTTTATCCTGTTCGTATATTGGGCTTGGAGTAACTATTTGTACAAAAGGATTTTCCTATCCCACTAAAAAAAAATTGCCACAAATCTCTCTACTGTGTCACATTTCATAAATAATTATGATACACAGCTGGGGGATGGTGCCAGAGGTTTCAAACTGTTTCACAGGCACAGTTCCAGGGTCAGAGAGCGTGGAGTACTGTGTGTGACCTTCTCCCAGAAGCATGGGCATAGGAGCATGTTAAAGGCTCTGAAAAGATCCGTGGCAAAGAAACTCCTTTCATTTTGTTTAACCCAGAGTTTCTCAAGCTTATTTAACTATAGAACACTTTTCTATGGGTTTCGAAACCTCTTTCTAGCACGGTATAATGAGTGGGAAAGGCCCTGACTGAGAGTCAGAGATTCCGAGCAGGAACCGTGATCTCTTCCTGCCTAGCCTGTGACTTGGGCAAGACACTTTTCCTCTCCCCAGGCCTCTGAGGTCTGCGAGTCTTCCTCCACCCTTTCCTCTCCCTCAGTTAGCACGTCCTATTGACTCAGCTCCAAATAGCGGGGGCCCGTCAGGAGCCTGACTCTGTTCAGACATCAGGGGAATAACAGCACACCAGGCAGATGCAGTTATGTCCATGGGGGAACTTACAGCCTAGCAAGGAAGGCAGAAACTCAACCTGTTGTTGTAAAAGGGATGGCATCATGAGAAGGGAAGTGCGGAGTGCTGGGAGAGTGGATGGCAGGGGCTTTAGCCTAGTTTAGGGCAAGGCCAGGGCGCACCACTGCCACTAGGGATAGAGGCTTCAGAAGCTTCGAAATCTCTCAATATTAAGAGTGTTGCCAGGCCCGGTGGCTCACACCTGTAATCCCAGCACTTTGGGAGGCTATAGCGGGCAGATTGCCTGAGCCCAGAAGTTCAAAACCAGCCTGGCCAACGTGACAAAACCCTGTCTCTACAAAAAATAAAAATAAAATACAAAGATTAGCCTGGCGTGGTGGTGTGCGCCTATAGTCCCAGCTACTTTGGAGGCTGAGGTGGGAGTATTGCTTGAGCCAAGGAGGTCGAGGCTGCAGTGAGCTGTGATCAAGCCACTGCACTCCAGTCTGTGTGACAGAGCAAGACCCTGTCTAAATAACAATAATAATAAAATTAAAAAATCAAAAAGGGGGTCTCCCCTTAAGGAGTAGAGAGTCTGGGACAGTTCTTGTGTCTCTGTCCCTGTCTCGTTATAGATGTATGATGTTTAGATAGTAGACAAGGCCGCCCAGTGGTAACCAACAGCCCTTTTGTCCTAGAATGTGTTGACATCCTCTTTCCCTCAGTCTGTGTAGGTTCTTTGCAGCCTGGCTGCTGGTGGGATCTCTTATCATGGGACATTGGTGAGGACCCAGTCATGCCCCTGCTGCCAAGAAACCTAAAGGGCTCCTGTCACCTGGAAACTTTGAGAGTGCAGGGCCAGGTACTGTGCCCTACAAGGTGCTGAGCAAGCCCAAGAAGAGTGTGGGGTGTGGTGTGTGAGTTCAGACCTCTTGGAGCTGGGGCGGGAGGGGGTGCTTCTGTCATCCATCAGCTGCTGTTCCTCTGATGATGCCCACTGCGTGTTGTGGGAGGCATGGCCACCGTGTGATGTTGCAGTGGGAGAAGGGAGACTTAGGAGCTAGACATGACATACAGGCATGGAGAGGTCAACAAAGTGTTCGCAATCTGTGAGCCAGACAGAGCTCTCTGTGTGCATGCATCCCGAGCTTCAGGAAGGCAACAGATTATTGGTAACAGAAGCGGCGGCAGCTTCAGTTCACCCCTCACCGCGTTTACCGGTGCCACTTCAGCGCTCTCCCTCATGGGTCTCCCATCTCCCAGTCTCCCTTCCATGCCACCTCCATACCAAGACCAGACCCATTTTTCCCACACACAAATCCAAGTCTGTCACTCCCCTGCTTGAAATCCTTCCCTGTTTCCCTATAGCGTTGGGGTATGGCCTGTCTGCTCTGCCTGCCTCTCCAGACTTATTCTATGCCACGGCCCGCTCACACCTACCTCTCAGGCTCCAAACATGTTCTCTTGCATCAGCCCATCCCTTATACTTGCAGCTTCCTCTGCCTGGCCAGCCTCCCACCTTCCCATCTCCCACTCACCTTTTTTGCCTCCTCATCTTCTAAGCTCTCAGCTCAGTGTCGCTTCCTCTGGGAGCCTCGCCTGTCTCCTCCACTCCAGCTTGGTCAGTTAGCAGAGAGGCATGTGTGCTTTTCCGTCACTGTACCCATCAGCCTCATCTGCATGTGAGCATGAGGGCCGGCCCATTGTACCTCGGCCACAGGAAGATGCTCAGTACTTCCTGAATGTCGAATACCTGAGCTATAGACAACTAATCTTCAAGAAGTGCTTTCCATGTGGCCAAATGCGTTTCCTCTACTTTGAAGCACAGAATCTTCCCCAAAATACAAGCTATTTTATTACCCCAATTTACTGACAAGGAAACTAAGCTTCTGAGACTTCAAGCAGTTTTCCAAGGTCATGTAGGGAAACACAAGTTCCAGTATATTGTGATTGTTGTAAAGGTTGTGTGTGACACATGAGTGCACCCAGAGATGTGTATTAAAAATGTTATTGACGGCCAGGCGTGGTGGTTCACGCCTGTAATCCCAGCACTTTGGGAGGCCAAGGCGGGTGGATCACCTGAAGTCAGGAGTTTGAGACCAGCCTGGCCAACATGGAGACACCCCATCTCTACTAAAAATACAAAAATTAGGCAGGTGTGGTGGTAATCCCAGCTACTTAGGAGGCTGAGGCAGGAGAATCGCTTGAACCCAGGAGGCGGAGATTGCAGTGAGGCAAGATCGTACGGCTGCACTCCAGCTTAGGCAACAGAGCAAGAGTCAGTCTCAAAAATAATAAAAACTATTTTTATTGCTGCATTCTCTGAAATAGCGAAGAATAAAAACTGCCTGTTATGTCCATCAAAAAGCAGATGGAGAAACGCAGTTGTATATTCAGACAGTGGATAGAGCAATTAAAGTGAACTCCATCCACATGTACCAATATAGACAAAGTCAAAATATAACTGAGTGAAATGCACATTGCGAAAGGTTAGCTACAGGGAGATACCTGTTCTTGGAAAGTAAAAACCCAAAATAATGCCAAATGCTCAGGAAGAGACACACCAACTTCAAGGATGGTGGTGGCCGATGATGATAGATGGAAGGGAATGGGACGGGGTGACGGGGCTTTTAGCCATATCCGTGTATGTATTTTACTATAAAAATACTTGGCCGGGCGCGGTGGCTCAAGCCTGTAATCCCAGCACTTTGGGAGGCCGAGGCGGGTGGATCACGAGGTCAAGAGATCGAGACCATCCTGGTCAACATGGTGAAACCCTGTCTCTACTAAAAATACAAAACATTAGCTGGGCATGGTGGCGTGTGCCTGTAATCCCAGCTACTCAGGAGGCTGAGGCAGGAGAATTGCCTGAACCCGGGAGGCGGAGGTTGCGGTGAGCCGAGATCGCGCCATTGCACTCCAGCCTGGGTAACATGAGTGAAACTCCGTCTCAAAAAAAAAAAAAAAAAAATACTTGACATGAACATGGCAAAATATGAACACCTGGTGAATCTGGGCAATGAGTTCCCCAAAGTCTGCTGTATTATTTTCTGCCTTTTTCTGTGTTTGAAATAGTTCCATAATTAAAGATTTTTTTAAAAGTCAAATGTGCTTCTTCAATGCTCTCTAGAAACTAGGGGCTTAGAAACATTCACTTTCTTTCTCCTACCTCAGAATAGGCTGTGCCCCTTTATCCCCCCAGACATCTTAGTCATTCACTGAAGATCATTCCTGAGCACCTAATGTGTTCCAGACCCTGTTCTAGGTGCAGGAGACACAGCAGCCAATCATGTCAATTGTTCCTGGTATTCATAGCTGACGTGCTGTTCCCTCTACCTGTCCCTCTTCCTCATAAACTCAAACCAGAATGACTTACCAAGCACCACACTGTTGGCCTATTTTTTTCTTTCTTTCTTCCTTTTTTTTTTTTGGTCAATGCAGCAGACTTAGGTTCAAGTCTCTTACTCATCTGTGACCCATGGCAAGTAACTTGGCCTCTGTGAACCTCGGTTTGCTCATCTATAAAATGGGGATAGTGGCACAGTCTCCTGGAGTTGTGTGAGGATGAGGGCAACATGTAATCTCAAGCACAGCACCTGGCATGGAGCAGGTGTGAGAATCCGTTCTACCTTCTTTCTCTCTCCCTGGCAGTACCCAACTCATGGTTGACCTCTGAAGACGGCATTTATTTCCAGGCTTTTCACTATCAAGAACTCTTCTTTTTATTATTTTTCTCATGCTTTGGAAGATTTTGATCCCAAATTGCATGTTTTAAGTCATTATTAATTTATCTCCCATTTTTTATTAATCAAAGACATAAATAGCTGCCCCTCAGAGCTTCTGATCTGTACACCCAGCTGGGAGCTGTGGTGGTTGACATAATTCCAGCCAGAGGCAAAAGAGCTCCGCAGTGTGGGTGGCCCAGGTGGCCCAAGGAGGAGAAATGTAGGGGCATCTTACTGTTTATTTTTTTAATGGGCCATGAGTTGTGGAAGCTGCTGGGGTTGCCCAGATAAGTGCTGCTTTCACAGGGGGACACTGACTACTGGTGGGCTGGGGGCTGAGGTTTGGGTGCCAGGGTCTAATGTGGGGCCCCACGTGGGCCTCATCCCACAGGGCTCACTCCAAACAGACGTCATGCCACAGTGCCACGCAGAAGAGTATGGGTTCACATAATGGGAGGTGGCGAAGCTGTCTGAGTGTAGGTCCTACAGTCTTTGGCTGGAGACCAACACATCATCCTGCCCCTGGCTCCCGATGCCAGAAGAGCAGACTAGTTTGTAGTGGGGCGGGGTGACAGCCTTAGTCTGGTCCCAGCACTCAGAATCACAGCCAGGTGGGCACACCGGCCAGCTGGTGGGCCGCACCAGGCAGCTTAGAAGGGAAGTGAGCCATATCAGCCCCTCTGCCCAGATGCAAGGGAACTTCACCTCCAGCCTGGCTGACCCCAAGGAGACTTGGAAGGAGAAGGAGATGGTGGTGGTGGTGGCGGTGGTATGTATTTGCAACAAGCAGAGCATTTGGCACATTAGGCTTTA